TCATCGGCAAGCTATAATCCGTCAGTGGCAGAGATTTGTGCTCCTGTATGTGTGTGTGCCATAACGTCTCATTGATTCGCTTGCATAATCATTAGTTTTGCGCGCGCCAAAGGGCAGCTGAGGCATTACGCGCGCGCGCGCGAGCCCGGGATACAATTGTGTATACGTGCGTACAACTATATACTATATAGGCAGGATTCGTTACGTAATCGCTAGTCTACGACGACGACGACGACTTACCTTTTCTTCTTTCTTCTTCGTACTTCTTCTCTCTTGTCTTTTTATTTTGATATCGATTTTTAAGATACCGGATATTTTTGTAAATCGTGTGTCGTGTACGATACATTTTTCTAATTATAAATATCTCAGCCGATCGTTAGGCTCTCTTTCATACAGCGATGTTCTTCGCGCAACCGATCTCGTGCGTATACGCGTCCACTTCAATCGTGGTGCACGATATTACGCATTTGTTTTTCATAATTGAAAGGTCATCGAGGTAGTGTGGCGTTTGGCTAATTGCTCATCGGCATAAAAAATGTAGCAGGTAACTAACAAAAAAGTGCCTCGGCCGTGTTTATGCATATACCGACCAAGTTCGTTCGAGCGTAAACGGACGCTTCCCCCCCAAACGATCGAGTTTCTTGTTTAAAGCTGCGTTAATTAGATGACAGCTTTTTTTTCAATTTTTCGAGGGACCTCTTCGTTGGCGTTCGATTTTATTCGCCTTCGATGTAAAGTCTTATAATTTACTGCTGTTCGTTGTAATCATTTCAACGCAGCATTGAAATACCGAGTGCTAGTTATCGCGACGCACGGATTATGCTTCGTTACATTTTAATTGAAACGATTTGATCAATGACATATTTCGTTGATTCAACAATAAAAATATCGGAAGTCACAATATCATTCATACTCGATAGCAAAAAGTAAAACGTGGTCTTTTGTTTAAACCGCTTTATACAATATTTTTCACGAATCTCCTATCAAAAATTAACTACTTCGATTTAGCCACAGAGCTGAAAAATCCTGACAGAAATGTTCATCGTTAACGTTAACGTTAACCCAATGATTAAAAACTAACTATTAAACTAACTATTTAACATTTATGAAAATAAATTACCGTTAATTCAATTTTTGTTGTTGATTTTTTCCATTACCATTGTGTTTATAACACAAATATTTAGCGCTTATTTATTTGACCTAAAAATAACAATCTATGATAAAACCCATTTTCCTAGTTTCAAAAGGCCATTTTCCTAATTTCAAAAACCCAATTTCCTAATTTTAAAATTGTTTAAATTCCGATCGACTCAACTGTGGCATTTCCTGGTGAGAACGCCGGTAGCGAATTTTTTCACGTTTAAAACTAATTTGACTGGACTAATATTCGAACTCTCAAAACTTCGAGACGGATCGATTTTTTTCCGCATACATTTGCAAAGATCAGTGATCAGCATTGACCTAATTTTACAGTAGGTGCAAAAGTAATGTGTTATGTTTATAACGCTTCTCTCGTGCCTATGCACGTGATAAGTGCGCCCCGAATTAACACCTGGTAATATCTGCGAGACACGCGTCTTCGTGTCTGTGTGTGTATACGTGATAAATTCTAAAATCTCACTCGCCGTCTGCATAACTTTCAGTTTTTTTATACTGTATGCGCGCAAAATAAATAATATGAGAAGAACCGGAGAATAATATACGAAAAAAAAACGAAGAAGACGACGTAGATGTTTCGCAGACTTGGCGGCTTCAGTTTTCTGAATGGAAAAATTGTGCTCGTACAGACACGTTGCATAGTTTTATATAAAGCGACAAGTTTAAGATTCTCATATTTTATTGTATACGAACTTGTGTTATTTCATTTTTTGTTATTTTGTTTTTCAGGTTGAAAAATCGTGAAAAAAAGCGAGATCAAGAACAAGGGAGAATCGGTATATCCAATGAAGCGAAGCAAGCGTAGATTCTCCAAACGAAATTCAAAGGTATTGATATACAAAAAATCATTTTATTTACGTAATAATATACGCTCTTCCTCGCGCCTCCTCGAGTTCAACGAGCGACGATTTTCCGAGATTTCAGCGCACGTTTCGCGTGAAAGCGTGTAAAAATTAATTATACTCAAGAGCTGCAAATTGCGATCGAAAGTCGTGCATGTGTGTGTGTGTGTGTGTGTGTTGAGTGTATGTTTTTGTGTGTTGCGAATACGAGTCTGACAAAGTTCGATCATCACGTGCGAGGAGGCATGCGACATACCACAATCCACGTGAGTCCGCTCACGAGTCTCTCTGCGGCCAATTAACATTTGTACATTTTATAATGCCGCTTAAATAATACATGTTATAGCGAGCACGTGCGAGCTGCGAATGAATGCATATGCAAAAGACACTAATGTTTGATTTTCTTTTTCGTCACTTTATAATAATAAGAAAGAAAAAAGACAAAGAGATAATTATTTTTGTTGCTGAATCGATATTCTATTGTGTATGTGTGTATGAGCAGACAAACGGGGGTGGCGGCAAAAATCCAGATGAAGTATCGTTTTACCAATCAGTCGTCCTGCTACCGGACACTTGACCCGCGGTCAAAATCACGCACCACAAGAGTTAACAATCACACGAATCTTGTGGTTCTGGATATAATAAACGTAAGACGAAACCTCAGCTGAAAGTAAACATAAAAACTAATCATACATTGCACTTTCGTATAATATTGGCTGCTTATGAGCTCGCGGCTCGGATTTTGCATTCGAAGCTCTCTCGAACACGTAAATAACCGCATTGAGCGAGACGAGCAAATATATAAAATCGCAAAAACACAAACGCCAGGCGATAATCAATGAAAACAACAGTACAGAGACTGGGCAATTGTACACGATACGGAGAAATGATTCCGCTAAATAGCGCCGTCCCGTTAGTGCAGTCTCTGTACTGGGAGGGAGAGGCAGGGTATAAGCCAATGATAAGCTTAAAGTTAACGATGACGGCTCGGTGCAAGCATCGGGCTCTGCGCAATCATTCGATCGCATATATATGTATAATTCACAAATGATGCTGGATGATATTCACGGGCAAAAAGGGATACGCACAGATCAAAAGACAACGACGAATGACATGTCCAAGCATAAGGATTACCGAGTGATATGTGCTTGGAGTTGGAATTTTTTTTTCGTCCATGTCCCATACTCATAAGCGTATCATACATGTATCGATGCACGGCTTTAAAGCAAATAAGGGTGAAAAACTTTTTTCATTTGTACGAGAGAGCCATACAATGTACTCGAAAACGTCAAGCGTGTCACTTGATGGGTGCGCGAAAAGCACACGCAAACATAGTACCAAGAATTGAGAAAATCGATCCGCACACGATCCTAAAACACATTTCGATCGCACGTCGCACAGCTGCAGAGAAACGTCGGAAATACGTTTAATATTATCATTTACATAAACGTTCGAATTGCGCATGTAATATACAGTGCATGTGCCGCAGTACTTGCTCAAGCTCGCACTCGCTCTTTCTCCGGCGTGCGCGCGGCCAGTATATAACGTATGAGAATCGTCCGAGACACATAATGAAGTTTTATCTCGAGGTGTACTTACATACATATATTCAGCAGTACTCTATAAAAGAGAAAAGTGAAACATTGCTTTGCAAAAACTACGAGCTGCAGTGTGACGAAAGATCGTCAAAGATAAAGAATTTTTTTACATTTGTATAATGTATATAAACTCGTTGCATATAATAAACTATCGACGCTAGAATAAAAATCGATCGTCGAATGGAAAGAAGTATAATATAAAATTAATTCTTCTCAATAAAGCTCCTGAAAAAAAGCTCAGCAAATGTAGGATATATGTGTACGCGCACGCATCGATCGCACGTACAATGCCATGGTAAAAAGGGAAGTGGGACGTTCCCAGCTGGAAGTGCGCCGGTGGCGTCGTCGTCGTCGTCGTCGTCGGGCGAGCGTAGTACCTCCTCCTACCTCCAATGGATGTCACGAGCCACCCACGCACGTACGTAACGCACCGCGAGGTCCAGCCCCGCTTTTCTGCACTTGCGCGCGCGCCTAGGCGCACTATTGCCGCCGTCGTCGCCGCCGCTGCTGTTTTATATTTTCGCGCGATCTTGCGGTCAGGCGCTAAACGCCGAGCAGGGTATAAGGCAACGCGTATGTGTATGTACTTTTTTCATATAGCTCCTTATACTCCTCCCACCTGCTGCTGCTGCTGCACGGCTAGAATATATACACAAGCGCACGTGGGGTACATCGTCGAGAGAGCTACTCCGGCGTACGATATTTATCACATGTATAATGTATATGGGCTATATCGCGTCAACTGTCCCCCCCTCTTGGATCAGAGTTGGAATTTGATTTTTAATATTTTATTCTGATTCCCAAGGGTGAATACGAAAATATTGTTGAAACATGATTTTTTATGTAAAGTTTGATGAGGAATTCAAATTGGATGTCAAAAATCATATTCATAAACTCCAAGTACCTTAATTTCCAAATGTCAGCCTCAGTGGCAAAAATAAACATGTTCGTATCCAGCGATATGGCCAATATTGTAATGTTCATCGACACTACCAAAGCTCCATTCAAAATTTAAAAATCATGTTCCAACCATTTTTTCATATTCACCCTAGGAAATTAAAATAAAATTTGAAAAATCAAATCCAACTTTGATCCAAGAGGGGGGGGGGNGGGGGGGGGGGGGGGGGGACAGTTGACGTGACATAGCCCATATGTAATATAGTTCCACCGAGTGCCGCCGCCGCCACCGTACCGCCAATGACTACAACTACTACCACTACTATACAACTAAATGCGCACAACGCTAAACGCGCGCGCGTATCATAATCTATCGCTGCTCGCGTACTTATATTTGCGATCGCGGGAGAGTGTGTGTATATGCGCGAAGTTTTGCGCGCGCATACGAACAACCGCTTCCTGGTCTCGCGACTCGACTCTCGAATCAGTCGTTGTCTCGCGTGCCGCTCGCGTGCACCACTATTTCGTAATACTTACTTACGAACGTACACAGACTCACCGTGTCTCGCGCTTAAAGCTATAAAGCTCTCGCGTGTACGGATGCGGATTAATGCCTCTCTTTGCCTAGCTCTGTGTGCAGTGTCATTTTGGGAGTGTGTGTTCTTTGTTAAAAACCAAAGCTCCAGTGCTGTGACCTTTTCCTCAACTTTCTTGCCGCTAATCGCATTTGAGAGAATAAAAAAAATACGATGAAGTAATATATTAACCCGAGTGTGCTGTGTGCGCTAATGCAAGACTCTGTAGTATAATTCAGTTCTGTGTGTGAGTGTGTGCTCTGGCGACGAATGTGTTTGCTCAGCGGAGAATTATATACGATGACGATGGTGATGATGATGCTTTGAGAAATATATATGTTGAGTGAGAACGCAGTGCGTTGTCGTCTTCGTTGTCTTCTTTTTCTTCCTGAAAAAAAGTTATTTATCAGTGCGCGCGAGCTGCGACGAAAATAGATGCGTTGCAGCTAGTTTATGTAGTGCGCTCTGTGAGAAAACAAAACGCATCTCTCGGTGCAAGTGAGTGCTAACAAAGATATATCATCGTCATAGTGTCGTTAAGTTCGCAAAAAAATTAGAGGAAAAGAAGGAAAGAAGGAAAACAACAGATATACAGCCAACGAAACTGCCATCGAAGCAGGCAAGCGACGTTATTACAGGCAGAATCGGGAGCAGAGCTGGAGCCTGCTGCCGCGGCGCCGCCGGTCAAAGTGCAGCAGCAGCAGCGCAGAGCTCGGGATCGTCCTTGCCCGAGCAGCAGCAGGACACCGACGATGTCTCCTTATCGGCGACCAACTGGATGTATAAATTGTTCGGTACATATCCGTGGGTGTGCGAATGAATGTGAGAAAATATTAATTTTGCCGGTCCGGGTCACAAGCACACACATGCACGAATCGTGAGCTCGTGCAAGTTTTGCAGATTATTCAATACTTCACAATGTGTGTGAATGTGTGCGAATTCTAAGAGTAGATAACCCCGTTATCGCGTGCATATTACAAGCTTCACATGTGTGTGTATTTGTTAAGTTATGCCCCGTACTCGTGACGTCGCTGCAGCACAGCGCCGCGCACACATAACGTAATAATATACGCGAAAAATATCCACGTAGTGATTCGCACGACAAATCGGAGCTTTGAGGAATTCCTGCAGCGATCGTTTCGAGAGAATTTTCTTTCATCGCTGCGATTTGTAAACTAAAAAAATAAGCGTGGCAAGATCGCGATCGTATCGATGCATATTCCCGGGAAATTTTTTTCTCGCGCGCGGCACTAGTTTTATCGCGCCGCGCCGCGCGGCGACGATTGTCCGCCGCTCGCTTTAGATCATCATCATCATGCGGTCGTTCGAAGTAATACGCGCCACAATATATGAAGAGCGCGAGAAAATGATAAAAATTATGTTTCATTATAATTTGCTCTTGTTAATCGGACTACTTTTAAATGAAATTGAAATATTAATTCGGGACTTGTATCAGAATTTATTTATAATTTTACCTCCTAAAGATATAATACAGGTTCTATTCAAGCTCCGAAGTTATATGCTTCACCTTCGATAAAATAGTATATTACTGCCCTAGGCCGGGAAAAAACTGAACAGTCCTAAGGCACGTAAAATGAGCGACCGAGGCGAAGTCGAGGCCGATAAACACGTGCACTGGGGCTCTTCTGAGGCTTTCTTTTTTCCCGGTATAAGCCGGTATGCTATTTTACATACCCCATGGCCCGAAAATAGCAATATTCAATAGCGAAGCGGGAAGAAGCGATTTTCGGGCCACTGTGTATCAAAAATATTATACAGGTCTATGCCGCGAAAAAAGAAAGTCCCAGAGCACGTGTTTATCGGCCTCGGCTTCTCCTCGGACACTAATTATTTTTACTCTGGGACTTTTCTGTTTTTCACGGCCTAGGGCCGTAATATACTATTTGCAAGCTGGATGTTTATATTCGAGATATAACAATATTATAAAACGTCGAAGAAACGTTTTATGAGAGTCAAGTGAGAGAAAGAGGGGTTGGCAGAAAAGAAAAATTGCATTATAAAAGCCGCGTGGTATAAATGTGTGCATGATCATGTATAACAGGAGACGTTGGCGGTATCTCGCTGGACGGGGTGGACTGTTACGACAATGGCGAGGCAGCAGCAGCAGCCGCAGCAGGATCGATGTTATCCAGCCAAAAGACTTGCCAGGGTCATCATCATCAGCAGCAACAAATACAACAGCCACAGAACGAATCGCCGCAGCAGGCGCCAACGTCGTCGATCTGCGACACGAGTGGCATAATCGGCTGCTCGCCGGGCGTCGCCGCAGGTATGGTCGCACAGGATGACCATCATCATCAAGCTCAGGCTCATCATCATCATCATCAGCATCGTCAGCTATACAACGAGCATCACCAACAGATGTTGCAGCAGCAACAGCAGCAGCTGCGACACCATCGCCACCACCATCACCACGAGGAACTGTTGTCGCTCGACGAGCTGAGGCCCGGAGACGATTACGGCCAAGATGACGCTTACTCGCATCAGCATCAACAGTCCCAGCAACAAGCGCAGCCACGGCATCATCAACATCAACAGCAACAGAGGCATCACGAGAATTACTATACTCTGGCATCGATGCAAGAGTAAGCACGAAAAAGCTCATCTATATCGAATTTTTATTATCCTTCATTACTATTACTATATCCATATATTACGTCGATCGTCGTCGATCGCGTCTTATTGCAAGCGCGCGGCGGTGCACACGCACGTACACGAATTACGTTAGATCGAGAGAATCGTGACAGCGGCGACGGTCATTAAAATATAAAGAGTTACATCACCGCAAGTATCGCAAGCAGCGGCAGCTCAGCAACGCGCGGAAAAATAAAGACTCTACTACTCCTCGCTGCTGCCGCGGAGCTACCAAGCCGGCTGCACACACTTACACACGCAAGCACAGAGTTGTGCAATGTTATTAAACCGTGTGTGTATTTGTATGTGCCGACGACGACGACGACGATGTGTCGTTGCGAGCATCGCAAAGGCTGCGGTGGCGGTCGTCGTCGTCGTCGTCGTCGTCATTGCCATCGTCGCGCGACTAGCACAGCCAGCGAGTAGTAGAGTCGGCCGAGTAGATAAGCGGTTGACCTTGATGCACAACGACTGCAGCATGCCGATGTATGCGTGTGTTAGAGAGAGAGAGAGAGAGAGACATATGCGCTTGTGTGTACGACTTTCCGCAGCTTATACTAGCTAGAAGCAGCAGCTCTTTTATTTTTTTGTATTTAATTTTTTTTTCGTATACGTACCTAGCGATGCGAACGCGTTCATTAAAATATATATATTTTAACGATCGGTGTTTCCTCGTTGCGGAACAAGTGTAGTGGCGATCGATATTGTACGAGCGCGCGACAAGATGCAAATGTACATAATTACATGGAGCGTCTATTAAACCAAATGGAATATACATAAATCGGCTTGATTTTCAATGACAGGAGTGCGTGCTCGACGGTGTACTTTGGCGAGCTCGAATCCCAGGCGACGACCACGGTCGTCCCTCTTCAGCAGCAGCCACAACCACAGGCGGTCGACGATCGAGCGACAATCATCGGCGGCCACTCGTCGACTGAAAATTCTCCACGGGAGCAGCAAGGCCAGCAGCAACGGTACATGGTCCAAACGACATCGGCCGCGGTTATGATAAGCGAGCAGCAACAACAACATCAACAACAACAGCAGCAGCAGGCACAAACGGGATCGGGATCAGGATCGGAGTCGGCGGCGGCATCGGCAACGGGCGCAAGCACGGCCACGACGAAGCACACCAACAACGGCTCGTCGTCTCGGACAGCGGCGTTGTCGGCTGGGGGTGGCGATGGTGGTGGTGCCGAGCGTCACTGTCATCATTACCATCATCATTATCACCATCATCATCGCAGCGGTCGCAGCCACGACTCGAGCAGCAACAACGCCGACAACAACAACTCGCAGCCGGACGACGGGACGCCGACGGGGACGGGTTTATTGCTCGACGATGGGAGCGCCGATCAGCATCATCACCCCAAGAAGCGAAAAATCTTCTCCAAGTGAGTCTTAAACGTATATTATACATTTGCTTATACATACAGCATCTTTGAACCCGGCAAAACGTACACGTTCCCTTATACTCCCAGCAAGCACGAAGACACATATATAGAGAGGAAGGAAAAGCTCTTTCGCGAGGCGCGAAACCCCGCAATTGTATTTATTATACGTACCCGCGCGCTAACGTCTAACGTAGGAGTATACGACATAGGAGTGAGAGAAAACTTGACAAACGCCTCGCGCGCATATGGTTGCGATTCTGAAATGTGCGCGCGAAGCAAGAGACGAAGAAGCCCGAGGAAAGCTCGTCGTCAACCCTTTGATGCAGTAGAATAGATCGCCGGCTGGGTGGTGGCGCAGGTTAGCACGCGTCGTGTGCCACAGCAGCAGCTCGAGCGCGTATTATTATTTATACACGCGGCAAGTTCAAAGTTTCATTTCTTGACTCGCAAGACTCGACGACGACGTCGAGCTCATTGTTCGTTGCCGGGCCTCGACGACGTGAGAAAAAAAAAATAAACGCGTCTTAGGACTTCGCGGCATTTATTGTACACGCGTGTATGCTGCGCACTATAAACGTCGAATGTGCTACGATAGCAAAAAGCTACAATACATGCAACGATGATATTTATTTAACGACAAATGTGAATTCTTTATTTATTTTTTTGTTTACATAACACATGGATCAATAACGAATATTTCGTTTTCTCACGCGTGTAGCATATTTTGATGCCGCTTTATCGCGAGGACATTTTTCCTTTTTTTTTCCAACGCACTTCCGTAGCATTTTTAACGCACTCGGCGAGGCACGAGAGTATATCGTGCACAGAAGCTTGCCGTGTTACATTGTATACCGATGCGTCTACTGAGGCGTCGCTTTGCTGATCGCGTCTCTCTGCGTCTCTCTCATGCCGGCGTCGCGTGTACAATGTATAAAGTTATCCTCGTCGCTGACGCTGCACACAGCTCCATCTTATGCTCTTCGTATATTTAGCTCGGTAGAATCTACTTTCAAAGGCGATTTTTACATGCACTCGCGTCCACACTGCCGAGGCGACTCTCTCGTCTTACGCGCTCGCGTACGTAAAGCTTCTTCGCCCAAACGTGTGTCGCGTATTTGATTTTTGAGCTTTTCGATTTCATCGGCAGATGGAATATGGTAAATCCGCAAGTAGAAAAGTCACGTAGGGTATATTTACATAATCAATCGTATTTACGTTTCTTCTTGATTTCTTAAAATCTTTGTTCTCGCTGTATGTATAATAATTGATAGTTGCTTTCATACACACGCAAAATGAAATTATAAGCCAATTAAATTGTTGCGCGTTACAGCCGAAAAATAATACACCCCTTGGATACTTCTCTTTTTCTCTTCTATTCGCGGCAGTGGTTTAAATATATACTTGAAACAATACCTACATAAAGCACCATTATCCCGATTTTAATATATAATTTATTAAGTCGGCTTTTAAGATTTTCATTACGACTGTTGCCTATACACAGTGGGCCAAGTATCGACTGCTGCTTCTCGGCCTTATATCTGGTCGAAAAATCGGGAAAAATTTATAGACTCAATCGGGCGCGAGAGAGTCACCTATGAGCGCGAACAACCGTATTACGTTGCGTAACTCATTTATACGTACGAGTGTGTTACTGTACGTACGGGTATATGGGCATTGTAGATAATCGCTATTGGCGATCACCATACTCATATACGTCCGCGCGCAATGAACGTGAACTTTTACTCTTTGCATAATTCATAAAGCTCCAGTCCGCGCGCGCGCGAGATAATACTGCACTAACAGTGTAGCAGCAGCAGCAGTATGGACAGCGCAGTGTATACAGGAGTGCGAATGTGTGCAGCGTATATATGCGTCTGTATGCATATATTTTACATAAGTGTCGGTGCGGTGGTCCGCGCGGGACACTCGCGAGCACTGCGCACGGAAAAAGCGGCTCCGACTGCCTCGTTAGGAAGGTCGCTGATAAAAACAACGTGGCAGTGTGGAACCTCCTTGGATTCGTATAATAACTTGGGATTTTTTGGTTTTCGTTTCGCTTGAACGAGAAAAAATTCAATGATTTCTTATCATTTAATGATGTATTTTTTCTGCTATTATGTACAATTATTTTGACTTTGCCACTTGCAGATCTGCAAATAAAGTTAGTCGCCATCTAGTGGGCGTAGGCTTGAAGTGGTATTATCGTATATGAAGTAAAGTTAAAATATCCTTTTTAATTATTAGTACTGTACTTAAAAACACTTTAAATTGTCATTATTTGGTTATCAAGTCAATACTTATCTCGAGAATTTCCATCAGAGAAACTTCGCAACAATTTAAACATTCAAAAACTGCACCCCAACCCCCAAGCCCAAAATTGTATTAATCTCGTCCTCGTTTCACCCGTAAGCAGCAACGACAGCGATCACCTCGTGGTCGACAGCAGCGAACTGGCTGGCGGTGGTGGTGGCGGCGGCAACAACAACGACGACGCCAAGTCCTGCCGTTCGAACGACGACAGCAAGAAGCAGAATCACAGCGAGATCGAGAAGCGCCGCAGAGACAAGATGAACACCTACATCACGGAGCTGTCGGCCATGGTGCCCATGTGTCACGCGATGTCGCGCAAGCTCGACAAGCTGACGGTGCTGCGCATGGCGGTGCAGCATCTCAAGACGATACTGGGCGCCGTGACCTCGTACACCGAGGGACACTACAAGCCGGCCTTCCTCAGCGATCAGGAGCTCAAGACCCTCATACTCCAGGTAAAAGCCAGCTTCAACAGTTGTGTTATATATTGAATGTGATATATCGGTAACGAGCTCCGTAACTACGGGTGTAATTATGTATTAACAGGCAAAAAGCTCAACGCGCTTTATACCGTATAATTAGCCCGGTTGCTCTTGGTAGATAACGAAATGGACCGCTAGGCTGCATCGAGTAAATCTTTATCTCCTCCCTCTCTCTCTCTCTACCTCTTTTTCAACTTATGTACCCGCTTCTTATATTATGATTTATTGTAATGGCCACCGAGTGCGCGAAAATCCGAGCAAAAAAAGCACTCAGACACGTACACCATACGTTGCACAATTCGACTCGACTCTGCGTGTGTACGCGCAAGTTATACACACGCGAATTACGACAATGAGCATGCACTATCTTAATAATATATAGATATTTAATAATATGTATATCGAGAATCGAAGAATGTGTGTGGGAGAGAAATGAAAGGTGCATACACGCGGCTAACTATTGTTTATTCTCGATTTGATGCGCGATTTCGTAAATGTATTCGAGCTTTCAATTTCGTGCTTATCTTGACGAGCTTCGAGTTGATTGACTGCAGCGCGCAGAGTATATGATGTATGTATACGTATACCGATCAAGCTTGGAGATCGGTATATACATGAACTGACTCGAGGCGAATTTCGATTTATCCTAATTAAAGAATCACGATCTGCGCGCGGACGTTGAGGAAAAAAATTTCAGATACGTGACTGACTGATCGAACCACACCCAAGTGACTTCGCGCTGCTGCCGTAATGTGTCGAACTTTTCACCTCGGCGAGAAAAATCGATTAGATTCGGTTGTACTAACGTACATATACCGATCTCGATATAAATTTCCAGCCAATTAATTCGACTCGAGGATAGAAATAAAGTATAACAAAAATATGATACTGTAGTAATATCCGCAACTCGGTACAAATTGTATATATTTCAGAATCGAATTTGCGCTCGCGTAATATTGCGCGTATTATAAGTGTTAAGAAATTAATTAACTACAGATAGAGATATCATAATAGCGCGCGGCGCGTGTATAACACGGGGAGGCCTCCAGCTGGGCTTATAATACGTTAACAACAAGCATAAGACCTACGTACGAATACCTTTAACTCGAGACTATTCAAAAACTTGAATGAAATAAAAAATTAGGCCATAATCTTCGCATCGTATCGACAACTGGTGCAGTATTTGATTTAGTCAAAGATACGCAGATATGTACTTTCAGTTCTCACGATCTCCCGCGCACTATTATAAGGCGATCGCTATTTTATATGTGTTTTATTTTATATATGTGTAGTATACCGACACCATAACGCTAGGCGCGAGCGCGAGCCGCTATCATACATCATATTATACGTATGTTTTATATAGAGATAAATCTCGAGTATCAGGAGAACCCCCCGAAGCGGCGGTGGGGGTACTTATTCAGAAACAGGTTCTTGCATAATAAACTCGGCTCCGCAACATTTCGATCGGGGGTTATTTTTTTTTTTTTGTCTCGACCCATTGTTCTCCAGCACTAAGTGCTAATTGAATATTATTTTTCTTACAGGCAGCAGAAGGCTTCGTCTTCGTCGTCGGCTGCGATCGCGGCAGGATCCTCTACGTGTCCAAGTCGGTCTCGCAGACACTCAATTACTCACAGGTAAGCTGCTGTAATAAATTGTAGCTCGACGTTTCACGATCGACGAGTGCAGCAGGGGAGGAGAAAAAAAATCGATAAAACACGATCGATGAAGAGAATAACAAATCGAATCGATCGTCGATTTTATCTCGTTGCAATGACGACGACGACTTCTCTTATGTATATTATTCAATGATACGCGCAGAGAGATCCGATGAAGGTGTAGAGGCGCTCGCCCGATAATACATAATAATCGCAACGCGTATAATTCTTGATTTTTCCTCGCTACGTTCAAAAAAGCGTATAGCAGAGCTGCGTTAACGTAAAAATTATGCAATTTGAAAATTGAAGAAAAGCGTATTATACGATCGGGTATATAGTAGTGGCGTGCGTTATTATGCATATAATGGCACACGTACGTATATATCACGACTATAAGTGATCGTCGTCGTCGTTGTTGTTGTGACGTAGTGTAGGCTTGTATAGTGATACATTGAGCTCATGCGAGTTGCGTTAATTGAAACGAGTAGCGGCGATATACCGACGACAACACTTTTGGCTCGCGCGAGAATCGATTGTTGTCGATTGGGAGGACGCCGCAAACGGATCTGCGATGTATCGATCGTTGATCTAGGTACAGCTTGGATCATTTATGATTATAGTCAACTAGATGCTGTAGCTGCTGCTACGTTGACGAATTGTTACAGTTTCAGGTCTTCACGTGAAAGTAGATTCATTTTCATGTTAATTTTCGTGTAGTTTTATTAACTGCAGTGTAAAACGCTAATTCGATTAGTAACATTAAAGTTCAGTTCGTTTTGCCATTAAAATAATGTGATTAAGATCTCTAAATTACTTATTTAACCCATTAAGTCAGGGAATTCTATATTAAGGCGTTATATTTTTGTTGAAAATGGGGTCTGAAAAAATTGCGAGTAAGTATATTCTACGCAAAATTTAATGAACTTTTCAAATCTGGTGTCAGATTTTCGATATAACCAATCGGTCAAAAGTTATGGATGGTTTTATAAAAAAAAACGCCTCAATAAAGTATCGAAAAAGCGTCCGTTCCTGTAGTAATAAGAAGCACAGTGAATTTAAACCTGACATGTTTTGACTTATACGTATATTTTTACTTTGCCACTTGCAGATTTACAGACACGAAGGTACTCGCCATCTTGTGGTGAAGGCTGGCATTAATTATGATGGAATTTTTAGACTAATTCCGATTGAAATGTTCAAATTGGACAATAAAATTAAATCTTTTTGTTCATTTTTTACCCTAGAAATCGCTCATATGATTGATGTTTCCTTCAATTTTTGCCCAATTCATATATAAAAAATACAAATCGCTATTCATACATTAATTTTCAACAAAGATTTCAAGCAAAAGTACCTGAAATAAAATTCAATTCTTTAAATTTGATGTCTGGTTCTACATTAAATCTATGAAAAAAACGTACATTTTTTAACAATCGAGTGAAATAACAAATATCACTACAATAGCGGAGATCTTATTGTAGGTGCACAGACACTCGCACACGTTCGTAAACGCGGCGTTATCGATAATTATTGCACAGATGATAAAGCGTGACTCGCGTACTTAGGAAGGTGCACACATACATCGAAATCGAATTTTCTTTCTTCCCCACGAGCTCGCGAAATTATTATCACAAGTTAAAAGTCACTTGTTGGCTCCGCGCACTTTATAATAATATGCATGGGCTAAGGAGTGGAGTCTGTTTTGTTATCACACGTGCCGTAGCGTTAAAGATATTGGACGCGAAGTGTATTACGCCGCTATTACGAGAGAGAGAGAGAGTGGCCTACACACGTGCTATAATACATGTATTGTATGTATTATGTATGTATGTATGTATATGTGTATGTTGTGTGTCAGAAGTTATGCATTAGATAAATTGTATTGCACACGAAAAGTACAGAGTGTACATATACACTGCGCTTTTATTGATGACTCACGCTGAAAATCGCGTTGCACCGGCCGCCAATATACTTTTGCGCGTGCAGCTTTTTATAAATAATAAAACATTATATATTGTGAAAATGATTAATGCAAAACGAGCGCGAGAGAGAGCGACTAGTTAAGGAAAGAGGGAATGGGAGAAAAAAAGAAGAAGGAAGGCTAACAATATAACGAGTTTTAAGTACTGCACGCGCAAAGAGAGCTGCATGCAGCGCATGCAGTATCTGTCTGTGATATGCATATCGGCCGGTTACTGGTACATTTATACATATAGAGGATTGAAAATCCCGCGGAGCGTTTTTGCACTTTCGCTTATCGCCGTGCGGCGCGTGCAGCGTGGGGCCTCATTTTCGTCCGTTGATGCCGTGGCGGTAACACATGTTGCACGAAGCCTTTCAATTCTAAGAAGTAAAGAAAAGCGATAACAGGCCCTTCGAATTCCTTCAATTAGACTCTTAATTTTAACGCGCTTTAAATTTTTTCTTTCGTGTTTTTGCAGGGCGACCTTCTGGGCACTAGCTGGTTCGACATACTCCATCCGAAGGACGTGGCCAAAGTCAAAGAGCAGCTGTCCTCGTCGGATCTCAGTCCGCGCGAGAGATTGATCGACGCCAAAAGTAAGTCACTTTAACGCTCATCCATATATTGTATAAACGAACCGCAACGATAAATATTGTGCGCCGCTCTATTCATGTACAATTTCGAATTATAGAAAAACACAGATAATAATTCAAATAAGAAGTTATTTTAGGTTGAACAGAAAGCTTTTGTTGTTTTTATAAGAAAGGACCTTTTGCATAGCAAAAAATAAATCATCCGAAATTTTGATCGTCATCACAGGACTCAATGAAATTTTTCTCTCCTTCAAACTTTTCGATTGCTCTACTGGGCGTAGGAATTATTTTTCTGGTACTTTTTTCTCCTTCTTTGTCATCATCATCAGATGATTCCTGATTTAATTTTTGTTTTTTATTTAAAATATCAGCAAGTATTTCTTGCTCAATTCTTTCTCCAAATGTTGATACATCGTCGTCAACAGAAACATATTCATCCCAATCCTAATATCTATCAACTTCTTCAATTATCTGTATAACCGGTTCAAATAAAATTGGGAAGCCAAGATTTGCGAAACAGGAAAGAAATGTATGCACAATACTTACTTGCGTATACATTGCCGTGTAATGTAAATAATTTTTCAGTCCTTCATTTTTCATTTCGAAGTAAATTTATATGATATCTAGACTTTAAATGCAAAATTTCATTTCGAATTGTCAAAATTTCGAATTATGATGTTGTCCGAATTATCGAGGTTAATTAACATTAAATTTGCATCGAAAACGGTAAAAACAGAGCTTGAATTCGAATTATCAAAGTTTTATTATATATCGAGTGTTACATCATAATGCATGAGCCGCTCAAAGAGATGCGTATAGTACGTACACACTTGCAAAAAGTCGGAGCAATAGCGACTCACGAGATCGCGGCGTTGTGTATATTTTATACAGAGTGCGGGTTGCGATGCGATTCTTATGTAACAAGCCGCTACACTACAACGCCGAATCACAGAGAAAGACAACGAAGCGATACACGATTGTTTTTTTATTAATAAAATCAATGAAATTATGCCTTTTTTTCCCTTGTCTAGCAATGCTACCGGTCAAGACGGACGTGCCTCAGGGTGTATCTCGCCTCTGTCCGGGCGCTCGTCGATCCTTCTTCTGCCGGATGAAGCGAAAAGTCGATTGTCGCGGTGGCAGCGGAGGAGGAGGCGGCGGCGGCGGCACCGTTGGCTCGGGCGGCGTTGGCGAAACGCAGATCAAGGAGGAAATCGACACCAGCAGCGGCTGTCACAGGAGAAAAAAGCAGCAGAATCACGGTACGCGCCAAAAATATAACTATACCGGGAAAAAATTTCAATCCGATTATTGTAATTGTCGATGAAAAGCAACAAGTATTTGTGCTGAGATGACAGGAATTCGCCTTTTTCCATTCTGCTTTCTCACGTACTACGTGACGAATTCGGTTTGATTTTTTTTTCTCATTACGTCAGCGATACGATATGTATTATTATATTGTATTATCGAACCGCCGCGCTCGGTGGACTATAATATCGCTGTGGCATTTCTTATTCTTGGAAAAACGATACGATAGCGCATTAACAACAACAAAAAAAGTAAAAAAGAAATGCGATGCACACACACACACAACGCTCATCGTGTCTACTTTCGTTTCCTCCGCAGACTGGAAATACTGCGTGATACAGTGCACGGGCTACCTCAAGTCCTGGGCCCCGGCCAAGATCGGCCTCGAGGAGCAGGAACCCGAGGCGGACGGCGAGGCCTGCAATCTGTCCTGCCTGGTGGCCGTGGGTCGGGTGCAGCAGGCGCCCCTGGCCGCCGTGACGCCAGCAGCAGCCGCAGCAGTGCCAGCACTGGCACCGGTACCCGTGCCACCGCCGCTACCACCACCACCACCAGCAGCGACGACGACTCCCGCGCTATCCTCGAGCGCGACGCCGTTGACGACGGCGGCGGCGGCCGCGTCGATAGCATCGGGCCGGCTACGTCTGCGCACCGTCGAGTTCGTCTCGCGCCACGCCATGGACGGCAAGTTCATCTTCGTGGATCAGCGCGCCACATTGCTGCTGGGCTTTTTGCAACAGGAGCTCTTGGGCACGAGCATGTACGAGTACTATCATCACGACGACATACCGCACCTGGCGGAATCGCACAAGGCCGCTTTGCAGTCGTCGAAGCGAGTGGTGACCCAGGTCTATCGGTTTCGTAGCAAGGCGGCGAGTTTCGTGAGGCTGCAGTCGGAGTGGAAGTCTTTTAAAAATCCGTGGACCAAAGACATCGAGTATCTGATTGCCAAAAATTCAGCGGTGCTGTGAGTGCAGTTTTTTATTTTCATATTGATACTTACAAAAAATGATCCAAAGCTAATACGCTGGGACTTTTCAATTACAGATCGGATTCGCGTCAGGTGGGCAGCAATCGATCCGAGGGCGGCAGCGTTCAAGAAAATTACGACTATTTCGCTCAAAGTACGTATTCAATCCTCCTCTTTTGCCTCATTAACATTACCATCTTCTTCTCGCTCAAACGTACTTACATTCGTGTAGGATCACAGTACGCCTCGGCCTGAGTATAATGATAGTAAAATTTGGCCAAAAGAAAACCATTATTTATTTTATTATTTATTTTTCACAACAGATTACTATGACGCATTATTCGATGCTCTGTTTGCGTTTAATAACTAAAATAAACCACGATATTCGCACGCCTCGATCCGATCCTACTATCTATCTAACCACAATATTGTCAAGCAGCCAATATCCAAAATCACACATGCACTACACACGCTCTATCGCGCACGCATCTACCTGCAATGAATTATTATGTATACTCTTTGGAAGAAAGAAAAAATATATATCTAACCAATAAAGAGAAGAAAAAAAATAAATCAAATAGAATAAAAATTAATAATAAAAAAAAAAAAAACATGTACAACAACCCGTATTAAAAAGCTCTACGGAATCGCGCGCTCTCAAGTTGTTTTGTGCCCGGCAGGTAACGGCGGCCTGGAGCGGCTCATAACGAGCCACGTCGAAGTGAGCAAGATCGGCCGACAGATCGCCGAGGAGGTGCTGGACCAACAGAGACGCAGCGATCAGGACTCGTCGCCCGGAAGCAGCCCGACGCCCGGCACCGAGCCCGCGAACTCGACGCTTGGCAATGTCGAGGTGAGTTTCGAGCAATCGATTGTGTTTTCATTTAAAATCGAGAAAGTGTCGAATTTCGAATTTCGATTTGACGAACAGATGGCATCGGTCGTATCCCCTGAGAGGTCGTCGGCCACGGATGTGCATCAACAGCAGCAACAGCAGCAACAGACGGCCACGAGCAGCGACAACAGCAGCAGCAATCCGCCCATAAGTTACAATAATCTGAACAGCAATGTGCAGCTCAATATAATCGCCAGCGATCAGGGTGAGTGTTATTTTACGAAAAGTAAAAAAATCGAGCGATCGATTCTTGACACTCGCTGTGATGATGTTGACGCAGTCGGCCCACCGCCGGGCGAAGAGGACATGATAAACATGATCAGCGGCTCTTGCGCGGCGATCGAGTCGCCCAACACGATACCCACGGACGGCAACGACGAGGCAGCCATGGCTGTGATCATGAGCCTTCTCGAAGCCGACGCTGGTCTCGGTGGCCCCGTTGACTTTTCTGGCTTGCCATGGCCTCTGCCTTGAGAGAAAGCGAGATCCCACGCAACGATCAGATGATTGAGTGTATAATTTTCATCGCCATGTGCGTGTCTCCCCCCACTCCAGCTCCCCCTCGTCTCTCTCTGTATAAGCTGTGACAACAGCAACTAACAGGTGCTATATATAAATATATTATTTGAAACTGTATAATGCTCGGATGAGTTATATATCAAATTGCAACTTTTCGTTTGGTGTTCTTTAGAGTGACTCTGTTTTTGTTGTGCATAATGTATAAAAAAAAACCAACTCGATTTCGCAATCGTAACATTAAAAATTACATTTATTAATTTAAATGACAAAAAAAGTTAACTTTTGTGCTTCAGTGCAAGTTGAGTGCTCTTTGACAAGAACGAATTTTTTTGTTAATTGCAATTTTCGTGATACTGTACTATTGTACAGCTCCGAATCTTGGAAAACCGTATACAATGTACATTTTGTGTCAAATATGAACATTTTTATCTTATTATGTATATAAGTTTGTCTTAACGATTATTATTATTATAAAGTTATGTAAGTTTAACGATTTTTCGACCACATTTCGAATACAATTATTTCTGTAAATGAATTTTCAGTGATCTGTACGGTGTATTTTTAGTATATAGCACAATATATTTTTCAACTAAAATTGTGAATAAAAACGAGCATGTGAGATATAACATTTGTAAACGGTTTTTTTTATTTCGTAACAAATTATTATGGTTACGCTTTTTTTACACCATTGTTAAACTATTATTGATAATAATACATAAGATGAGCGAAATACTTTATTTTGCCTATAAACGGAATCATCATCATTTTAGTCAAAATAATATCAAAACTCATCTTGGCTACCCAGCTTTTCTAGTGACTCGATGATTCTTTTAGAACTATATATGTGTATGTTACAGCTTTATACAATTATTTTCTAATACATAATCAATATGTAATTACATATTCGATAAATAAAAACTATTCGAAGTCTCGAGTGAACGCACAGCGGCTCGAATCATCAAGAAAATGAGAGACTTCGTATCGCCACGTGCGTGTGTGTTGTTATCTCTAGATCAAGCTCTGATCGCCAAGCCGTTGGCTTCTTCGCTCATCTCGTGCGTCTCGCTCTTTACGGACTGAGCGGAGTTGCAACGGCTTTCGTCACTTCCCTCCATATCTGTGTCCGGCCGTGCGTACGGCTTCAATACGAAAAACGTGGCCTGCACCTTGACAAGATTGCGGACGCTTTCGTCGTCGGAAAATATTCTACCTTGTCCAGTGATAACGGCATCTCTGATTTCGAGAATCGTGCCATCTAAACTACGATGAAAAAGTTACGTTATATCGATGTTCTATCGAGTTATTTTTTTCACGAGGAAAAAAGGATGAAAAAAAACTCACTCTTTGTCGAAAGTGTTGATCTTTTTGTTGAGTCGAGCGAGCACTATTTCTGAAAGATCTTCGTCTTCCTCGGGATCAACGACGAGAAACTTTTCTACTTCCATCACGTGCACATACTCGTCCTGTTCGTCGTTTTCACCGTTCGCCATGATGTTATCCAGGCCATCCTCGTTGTCGAAGTCGTCCATGACGAAGACATCGTCGTCGAAGTCGTTATTCATGTAATTGCTCATGGCGTTATCCATGTAATTTCCCATGGCGCCATCCATGGCATCGACCATGTCGCTGACCATAGCGTTATCCATGGCATCAACGATGTCGTCAATCATGTCGTTATCCATAAAGTTATCCATGACTAATTAATTGGTATTTTTTTAATTATAAACTTAATTCACAAAAAAAACGGAGTTGGTTGGGATAATCGAAAGTGCAATGCAAAGGCCGGAAACTGAGACAAATCTGGAAAAGGCACGAAGCACGTGGGCGTAGTTTACCGCTTGAACGAAAAAATTGTACTACATCGCTGAAACAAGATCATAGGGGGCCGTTGGATGCTGTTTACGCATGAGAAAGTGAAATCTACATGCGTAGTCAATTAGACTCATTAAAGATTCGAAGGAAATGAGCCCGCCTTTTTTTGAATATTCAATACCTAACGATGGGTGAGTAATTTCAAGTTTTTTATTGATGATCGATATTGAGTATCCAGGATGGACACTTTCATATTTGTAATGTTATTATAATGAAAAATAATAATTTAAATATTTATAAGTAGATTTTCAACGAAATATTTGTTCAATAATTTTAACTTAACTATAAAATAATTCATCGAAAATAAAAAATACGAATTGTTTAGAAAAAATCGGTAATATTGTACATGATTAATGTAATTTTTATTATTAGCAACTCTTTAAACTATTTCTAGGTTTGATTATGCCGAATATTTATTATTTCGATAATGTTGAAATAATTTTATATTAACTAGATACATTTTTTTATTAACAATGTAGTTTATTTACATCTTTCTTGACACAGAAGTATTGTTATCCAATTACTTGGATATCCCCTTCGTACATTTTAAATTATAAAGTAATATTCATAAAATATGAACAATAGTTTTTGTACATAAAATTCAATCGGCTCTCCTCGACGGGGAAGCCGATCGATGTCGCAAATCTTTATACACATTCGTCTCTCGAACATTAAAATTATTATTTACAGACCCCGCACGTATACAAATAATATATATACACAATATTATACATTGAAAACCTAAGAGCCACTAGGCGTCAATATGTCTAAAAGATAACCGTACAGCTCGTACGGCGGATCAATGTCATCGATTTGCGAGCACATGAACCGTATCTCTTGGCCGAGTCTCAGCGCTGAATTAATCGCCGCGTGTCCCGGGATGCTCGGATCGATTCTGTCCACCTTGGCCATGAACTCGCCGTCGCACAGGCTCACTCGCAGGTGGCTCTCTGTCAATTCCACTATCTTACCTGCGAAGAAAAAAGAAACGATATTTATAAAGCTATCTCGAGGATATGGAAAGTCAAAGGATAAGACGGTGTACCTCGGTAAATGTTCCATTTTTTAATCTCCATGAAGTAAGCGTTGCCCAGGACCTCCATCACGGGGATCACGCGTTTCTCGCCACTCTGCTGCTTCTGCTCGGCATTATGACAAGCCACTATTTGGACACTGTCGAACGTTATCAGGTAGCCTTGACATCTAAAGCAAAATGCGTTACAACAAATAATTTCGAAACTAACTAACACATCTGGCTTGTAGTGGCAAGTAGTAAAGTTTATCGCCACGCGAAACTCGTGCTGAGTTTCTTTACATTTTTGTATTATATACTCACTGCTGATAATAGCTGTTTCTCGCGTCGTTCACCCAGCTCAGCAACGACCTCTTCATGTCGGCCACGTCCCAGCTCGGCGTCTCGACGTACCTCTTCACGAGGTGGCAGAAGGAGCAGGCGAGCGGATCATTGATGAGCTGCTGCAGCCACTCCCAGTCGAATCGCTTGTCGGCGAGGTGCAGAATCACGGGCTTGTCTTTTTTGTTATTGACGATGAACGGATTCATTTCCAGATCGTCGACGAGGGCCTGCAGCTGCTGCTGCTGTTGTTGTTCTGTCTGATCGCTGCTGCCCTCGCTCGTTGTGCCCTGTTGCTGTTGATGCGGCCACTGCTTCATCGTGATCGTCACGCTGGGATCGTCGGGATTGAAATCCGATCGCCATCGGTATATGTGATTTATCGACATTTTTTTAATGCGTGTCTGTTTCTTTGACGGATCGCGCGCAAAAATCGGCGATTTGAGAATGAGAAACGTGTGTCGCGCACGTGTACACCGAGGGGCTGTTGGTTTGAACTGAGGATATATTGTACACAACAATATGTTCGTAATATTAGAATTGGAAGTTTGTGTGTGTATACAAGCGCGACGATAACTACTCGGTGTGCGTCGATAGTAGTTCGAGAGCTCGAGTAGCTTATACAAACACACACGAATGACAAGTTCCTTGGTAGAAAAGTTAAAATTATTTGAAGTTAAATAAAATCAATGATCTAATTGAAATTTCTTCAAATTATATCTTCAATAACCAAGTTATCGATAAACTATTAATTATGATGGAGATGAACGACCCCCCCGCATTTTTGAGTGGAGATTCACTAATGTTCCTTCGTTTTAATATTTTTTATGAGGAAAATTTTGTTAAGACTTAATCGTGGCTTTTCATTACAAAGTTGTTTTATCGTGCTCGAAAATGAGAAATTCTTTTAGGCTGTCGCGAATGATATTCTTTTCCGAATTTTTCCTCGACGCTGAGCAAGTATTCTGATGTCTGATTAATTTTGATTTTTTTCTAAATTTTATCCGTTATATTTTTTCACTTTACAATTAAATAGACCCATATAGTAAATAAAAATAAATTTTCTCTACTAATAATCACTTATTATGTGCTCACAAATTTTTTTTTTGTATTTTCTATTCTCCTTAATCCAATTATGAGTCCACTAAAAAATCATAAATAAAATTATAATCATTTAAAAAAAAAGAAGTAATTATTTAAAGCTTAGTAAAAATATTACTTTACCTTATATTCAATAGTGCAATAGGCTTTATGCACCAGAACTCCAATACCCCTGAAGGCAACATTATTGGCCATTCTTAGAAAAAGGACCACAACAAATAGTATTGCATTATGCAATAATGCTCAACTTATAGAACTTTAAAGCATTTATCTGCTATTTGATATGTTAGTTGCATTCTACTTTTTTCAGATGATGATCAAATAAAAAATCCTATCTCATCATTAACAACAGGCAATGGCTGGTGCCAAATCACAATGATCTAGAATGTAATTTATGGAATTTCAGAGAAGCTGTAAATTCTAAAACTCTAGCTGATTTTCTATTTCTACAGCTAAAACTAAATGCTTATGGACGACTGATACAGAAAATCTATGAAAATGATATTAAAAAATTAAAATAAAAAAATATCAATACATGTATTTTTCTTACAATGTGAGAATTTATTTGTCACAATTAAAATTGAATAGTGTTAAAAAAGTATTTTAAAATCATATGCATGCATTATTTTACAATAATACAACACTTAAATGATGAATATTAATTACTACAATTAATATCATGATTAAAAAGTTAAATGGTTTTAAAAAAATATTTTAAAATCATGCACATGCACTAATTTACAACAATAATATACAGTAAATGCTAACATTAATATAAATATAAATAATGAGAAATGAAGTGTTAATTTTTCTCAAGTTTTTGGAGGAATATAATTAAAAATATTGTGAGTCGCTAAATACTCACTTGTACAACCCCAGGTGCAGATAATAAAACCCCCAAGAGAGTAAGTAAACAAAGTAGCTATTCTGATTACTGTTACTTCTGCAACTTACACCTCAAGAAGGGATGAATTTTCTCAAGATATCAAATACAAAAATGTTGCAATGACTCTTTGTGACCCATACTTAATTCATCATCTATTTATCATTCTGAAAAAATAGAAACAAGTGTTGAACATTTTTTGGAATTGAAAATAAATAAAAGAAAACATTTTTGAAGGAAAGCAAATCATATAACAGATGACTTGAAAATAATAAATATTTTAAATTTAAGCTTCAGTTAGAATGTCAGTTTACCTTTTAATCACAATTCCACGTATATAAGGATTCATATGAGTATTAATATGATCAATAGTAAATGATATTATGTGATCTTTGATCAATCTGTTGCCTGTCCACTCAACGGTATCAGCAAAAAATTTTGGAAGTGTTACTCTGAAACCCTTCAGAGCCTCAACTTCAAGTTGATAGGCAAGGACTTTCTTGATAACGCCTAAAATAGAAAAACCAATGTTAAATACTATTTTTTTTTTATATGGTAACAATCAATGACGCAATACTACATACCTGTCAAACGTTTACCAACTTCTGGTTTAAAAACATAGAAATCACCTTCAATTTCAATTTTTACCAATTGTGGATGGAACTGCTTAACTTCATCCCACATGACAAGTCCGAATCTACTCATAACTCTAATAGACCTATAGGCCACCAACCATCCTCCCAATCTATGAAATAGAAATTGATATAAAATTAAATAATAGCCTTTATCCAAAAATACTATTCATTCTAGTAAGGCAAATTCAGTCAGATAGAAGAATTAATCAAAACTCACTCTTTATCAAAACGGTACAAAAACGAGTCCATCAAGAGTTTTATGTTACTGTCAACCTTTTCCCACTGCAAAGGACGCATTGGTATCTGCTTTTTTGTCCTCACCAAATGCACACATGTATTTTCCATCTCGACAAGTTCCTTGAGCTCTTCGTCCTTCCACAAGTCACTCTGTACTCTTTCTACTTTGCCCAACAATTTTTTTTTGTGATGGGTTGGCATTTTTTCCACTTTAATTTTGAAAAATTAACAAATCAGTATGGACCCGTATGGATCCACTCCATCTGTACACGTGTTGTGACAAACCTGTAAACGTAAACAACGCCGCGAACGAGCGCGTCTGCTGCGAATTGCGAAACTCTCACCGGTGGCCGTTCGCGGCGTCAATTTGCGCGTAGCACTATCGGCCGGCAAAAAACAACTGATCGAAGTGAGCGCGAAATTTTAAATTCTTTCTTCGGTTTGTGAACACGATAGGTTTCAAAAATTAATTAAAAATGAATTTAATATTTGTTAAACGTAATAAAATTTATTCTTAAAATAATAAAATATTTACAATTTCTTTTTAACATATAAATAAATTAATCTCACTCGACAAGCTCTTTTTGCGTCGTTTATGGCACTTATTTATACAATTTACGTCACAATATATTTAAATAAAAACTATATGTTCACAGTTCAAAGATTCCATAACAATTATCCAATCCAGTGGATATGTATTGAAATTCAATCTTTAAAATCAACTCTCCTACACAGCACTCGTATCGGCGATACGAGTGATATTAATTATCTACTATTTCATCACATCCAACAGGCAACCTTTCATGATGTAAGGTGGATCGCAATTCTGAAAACTTTTGCACAAAAATCTTACCTCCAGTCCCGGCTTCAGGTCGAAATTAAAATTATTTTGCGACGATTTCGGATCCGCGATGAAGACCTTGGCCAATAACGCGCCGTTGCACACACCCACCTGTATCGCTTTCGTTCCGATTGTTTTGATTATTTTGCCTGTAACAACGAAAAAAAAGAAAAGGCAAAAAATTAAATGAATAGTGTAAGCGAGCAACGATGACACAAAAAAATTGCGCGTCGTAGAAAGTAAAGAGGGAGACGAATCGAATTATCGATGCTTCTCGATGCATCATCACGCTTACCGCGATATATCATCCAACGTCTTATCACGAACGTGTAAGCGCCCACGAGGAGTTTCATGACTCTCGAGTACGCGGGCTCGGCGTTCCTGTCTCTCGCGCAATTCACCAGTGTGATGCTGCCTATCTTGAACAAGATACTCCGCTCGCCTCTGTAAATCACACAAAACATCGCTTTACAAGTATATACTCAATTGAAAATTGCAACGAGATAATACGATGAAAATTAATTACCCCTGATCGATCGTCTCGTTCGTTTTGCTCTCCACGTACTCGTCGATGGCCTTCTTGATGTCCACGTCCTCCCAACTGTCCGTGAAGACGATCGCCGAGAAACTGTGCCTCTGCACGTAAGAGTTCAGATCGTCTTTGTGCTCGAGGTAAACATTGTGATTCCACGTCTTGTCTCTGTAGTACCATGTGACTTGGTAATTTTTCATTATGGTCTGGGTGTCGACGACAGCATCAGCAGCAGCAGCAGCAGCAGCGGCTTCCGACGACGATGCGGAGGAGGACGAATCTGCCATGATCGCACGCAGGTGTGCAAATCGGTGCCGCTTAAAACCTCGATCGGCCGAATTCGCAAATTCGCACACGCGACACAGCTCACAACGAGTGTAGGGTGAGCTGCAAAACTCGGTGCTATATTACTCGACGAATTCGCAAGTCGCAACACGTGATGATCAGTGCGTGCAGTCAGGCAGTGTGGGCGCCCACGTTGTAGTTACGGTGCGGTCTACAATGAGAGCTGATGCGCGTTGCGGACGTCGTTCGAGACTCGTTGCGCGCAGCTTTCACGAAAAAACCGTGTGTGCGACTCGCGAGTGTGAAAGTAAGCAGCTAATTTTAATTTCAACGAATTATTTTAGAAGTGTCAAAACTTTCGAATTTCGAGTTTCGACAAGTATCGCTCGTATAGCCGCCACTTCGTTTAAATCTCACTCGGGGATTAAATCTAGATCGTTTGAATCAGATGCGTTCTAATTTCCGTTGCGAGATTCGAGCAATGAAATTAGGTATATTGTTTTGTTCGATGTGCTTCAATGCTAAGCAATTTTCGTTTTACTACCCTCGGTAAAATCAGAGCTCCATCAAACACTTTCGTTGCATCTACTGCAAATTTATGCAATATAATACATACGATGAAACGTCATTTCTATAAATGAACGCTATTCGTATACATATCGTAATGATACTATAGTTAAGCTGTCATCGCATCACGAAAGATAAAATCGAATCAAAGATGTGTTAATAAAAAAACAGTTAGCGTCAAAAACATCTCTCATGCTGTTATATGCGGCACAACATTCAACAAGTCGCCGGTCGCAGTTAGTTCCCCTTCCACCTCTCCTCGCTTGCGGACGACAAATCGTTTGTCTCGCGCAACACACATTTTGCGCGCCACGGCTGGATCGCCTAAATAGGCTACTACATATACAAAACACAACTACGACTGACTGCCGCCTTCGTTCTTTGTTTACTACGAAGGTCGGCGGCCAAGCGCCGAGGGATTAGCCGACTTTCGCGTAGTGTGTGCGCGTCCGAGACTTTTTTTACTTTTTGTATATTAAATTAGTCCTCGTCGTCTCGTAGGAAGAAAACACACACGTGTGCTACGGCGCGTCCTTATATTGCCTTGCCCGCGTAATTTTTCTGAGTTGCATTAGCCCCGGAGCCTCTGCGAGGAATATTATGAATGTCGCGTGCACCACCGCTGCAGACCAAAACGAACAACGGCCTTCGCTGACATTTGAAAATGAAGAAAACGTTCCTAATAATAACGGACCCGAAGTATGCAGGTGGAGGACCAGTAACCAAAATTGCAAGGATCATTCCGAGTCGCAGGAATTGTTTTCAGGTTTTGATAATTTTTGCATCGTGTATAAACGATTTGCGATAAACAAAAAATATGCATGGCATCGCAGAATTCATTTCGGCAATGTGATAAGAATTATCTGTAGTTAAAAGCATGTTCGTTGCACAGATTTTTTTTAAATTGCACGAAATTACGTAGTTAAATTTTCCATTCTCGTTCGAATATTTTTTGCATGAGCTGAACTGAGAATCATTCATTAGCCTCATTCAACTTGTTTCAGATGATGATCAGATAAAAAATCCTGGTATTTCATCCCCACAATTGTTTCCACGTCATTATGATCTAGAATCACCAAATGTTTTTATAAAGACACCATTTCTTTATTCAAATTCATTAGAAGAGTATGTGCATCATTAAGTAAATATTTGCAAACATTAAAGTTTTTAAATATGAAATGTGATTTTTAGAACTCCAGGGAAAGCGGTTGTTCCTAAGACACCAGCTGATCTGGCCCCTTTTATAGCTAAAACAAATTGCTTATGGACTAGTGATATGGAAACTCCAGAGAGTAAATTGAAAGAAATGAAAACTGAACAAAGAAATATAACAATGGATTCTGTTGATATTGTAAGTATTGATAAATTAACAATTAAGATATTGATTAATTCTAAAAAAGTATTCTGAACTTTAACTCATATCAATTTATGCATTAGTTTCAGAATAATGCAACTCCTAGACGTTGCAGAACACCAGTTACTGAAAATGTAAAAACTGAAAAATTAAGTATTACTTCTCCAGTTCTTGGAGGTAGAAAAAAATCCAAAAAAAAAGTGAAGCGAAGACTACTGACTTGTACAGCACCTGATATGGATGATAATGTCAGTAGACAGAACAGTATTAGTAGTTATAGTGATAGAGTTACTTCTGAAACTGCTAGCACAGTGAGTAATGATTTTCCTCTAGAATCTGATGTAAATAATGTGGAAATGGCTCTAGATAAAGCTCAAAGCAATGAAAAATTAGAAGTGAGTATTTAGAATTAAATAAGTTCAAAGTATTCATTATTATTATCTTAATTGCTTATTAAATTTTTCATTTTAGGTACCAGTAGTACATTCTGAAAAAAATAGTAATACTTCAACGCAAGATTTTTTTTCCAATGCATCTTTCAGTGCAATTGATAAAATATGCAATAGTGCTCTGGAAGAAGAAAAAAAAATGACAATAATTCACGAGTCAACGAGTAAAAATATAGATACTAAACCTGTGATAAAAACTGAATTGATTAAAGAAGAAAATTCTCAATCAAGTGTAAGTGAGGGTGTTTTGGAGAGAATAGCAGCAATAAAACGTTATCAAAAACCTATGAGAAGATCAATTGATGTAAACCAATCAATGGTGTCAAAAGAAGCATTTTTACAGCCTGTTAGAGAACTTGAGCTAGCAGATACTAAGTTTGCTCAGGATTACAAAAAAGTTCAAAATATTCAACATAAATCTGATAATGTTCAGTCATTTACTCAATTATCATCATTAAAAACCGAAATTCAAGATGAAAATGCACCTGTGTCTAATAATGATAATAAATGTCAAGTTCAAGAAGTACCATTAGAAATCATGGATGCTTGGTCTCCTCATACTGCTGGTGATAATGTGGAAATTGTTGAGAAAATTAAATCTAGTATACCGCACAGTTCTGAATCAAGTGAAAAACTTGAAAAATTAAAACTGTACGATGAATTAGGTTTAAACGAGTTCTTAGATCCAAAGTTAACACCAGAATTAAAAGAAGAGGAAAAAGATGATGGAATATTATATCTGCAAGATATGGAATTAGAAGTACCAGTTGAGACTTATAATGAAGATTTTTCAAAATGTGATGTTATTGATGAACAACAAAAACAAACTATGGCATTTTTTGCGGCTGTGAATGTAAATGATGAAATACATTTATCAAATTTGCAGACAATCAACTACGTTCATGCAGAAGCCAATCAGCAAAATATTTTATCATTGCTACCCAATGATTTATCAAAAATTCAAATTGAATCTGAAGTCAATATTATAGGAATTCAATCTGATACCGCCATCATTCCAACGAGCCATGATGGTTTTTCAACGGCCAAGGGTGAAACCATCAACATTGACAAAGAAAAGGAAGTACAATATATGAAGCTTCTTGATGAAATAGATATATCCAGTAAAGAACAAGAGACTAAAAGGAAAAGAAAAAGTCTTTCATTGCATAAAAATGTGAAGTCAAAAGACAGAGTTTCTCTTGTATTTAATGATGATGCAGTGGTCAAAGATAATACTGAATTAAATCACCCTGAAATCAAACCTGACATCTTTAAATGCCCATCAGTTGTTGATGGATTTTCTACAGCAAAGGGACAGAGCATCAAAGTGAATGAGGAAAAAGAAAAACAGTTCATGAAGCTTCTTAATGAAATAGATGTTACAAATGATGAGCAAGACTTTAAAAAAAATAAAAGAAAGAGTTTTCCTACCAAACTAAATCAAAAACCAAACGATAGGGTCTCTCTTGTGTTCAAAAGTAATACAAAAGTTAAAAATTGTATTGTTGAAGAAAATAGTACAGATATAGATTTTCAAATTCCCAAGTATCCATCTGCCTCTGATGGATTTTCAACCGCCACAGGTAAAGTAATCAAAGTAAACGAAGAAAAAGAAAAACAGTTTATGAAACTTCTTGATGAAATAGATATGACAAACAATGAAGAAGACTTGAAGAAAAATAAAAGAAGGAGTTTACCTCTAAGACTAAACCAAAAACCAAATGATAGGGTCTGTCTTAAGTTTAAAAGTGATACAAAAGTTACAAATAGTATTGTTGAAGAAAATCACACAGAATTCAATTTTTCAGTGCCTAAAAATCCTTCTATCACTGATGGATTTTCAACTGCCACGGGTAAAGTTATTAATGTCAATGAAGAAAAAGAGAAGCAATTTATGAAGCTTCTTGATGAATTGGGAGACAATGAACAAGATTTTAAAAAAAATGAAAAGAAGACTTTTCCAGTGAAGGCTAATTATAAACCTAACGACAGGGTCTCTTTGGTATTTAACAATACTGAAAAAGTTAAACATGAAACCATCCCAAAATCCACTGAAATTAGTAGTTCTCGAGTAAGCAGTGACGGTTTTTCAACTGCTAAAGGAAAAAGTATCAGTATAAATGAAGAAAAAGAAAAACAGTTCATGAAGCTTCTTACTGAAATAGATGTCACCGATGAACCAGACTTTAAAAATAAAAGAAAAAGCCTCCCACCAAAAGTGAACCACCGGCCAAATGACAGAGTTTCGCTTGTATTCAAAAGTACTGTCGAAGCTAAAAGCGATAGTGCAATAATACCTAACAACAATGTTGCAATTCCATCTTGTAGTAGTGATGGATTTGCAACTGCTGGAGGTAAAGGTATTTGCATCGATGAAGAGAAAGAGGAACAATTTTTAAAATTTTACAACGAAATAGATGTGACTGGTAGTGAGCCAGAAATTCGGCATAAAAGGAGAAGTCTGCCAGTACAAACAAATAATATTTTGAACGAGAACGGGCTTGTTACATTTAAAAATTGCAACTTTAACAAGTGTTCTGTAACAATCAATCATATAATCGAAGAAAAAGAAAATTATGACTCAACTAGTTACACAGAAATTTCAAGGTCCAAACTCGATTCGTTGCCGATAAGCAAGCCAAGCGTCGCCAGTACAACTTCGCATGCCGCTGTTATTTCGGATTCAATAATCGAAAAAGAGTTTACCAGCGAAAATATACAGATTAATGAAAAATCGCTGTTGTCTTCGACGTTGAAGGAGGACGCGTATCCAGTCTCGAAACGCCGTAAGAGCGAAAACGTCACGCTCGGCGGAGGTCCTCTGACCTTGAGCAGCGACACGGACGACGTATTCAACGATCTCGGCGCCGATCTCGAGGCACTGCTGGCAGCTCCCGTAAAAGTCATTCCTCAGAGCGTACTGAATCATTTGCCAATGTCCGAGCAAAAATCGACTGGCAGCATACTGATGAAACGAAAATTGGAAACTCTAGAGCCGAAGAGACTCGATCGGCCGCGATCTTTCGGTGGATTTACCAAACCAACATCGAATGACGCGACCAAACTCAACAAATCAGATCCCAACGATGAGTCCCTTGGAAACAGACCTTTGCAAGCCGCATTATCCATGAGCCAGTGCTTCGATCCTCACTCGGATTCTCTGCTGTCGAAGGTCGACATCAGCAGTTTGAACTTCAGCACGAAGGTAAAATCGCCCGAACCGACGAAGAAAGTAGTCTCGAGCGACGATTTCGAGGGATTCACTTTTCAAGAGATCACCGAGAGTTTTCGCAAGTATTCGAGTTTTGAAAATTACTGGCGCAGAGCTCGAGAGAGAAACGTCGATGTTATCGTCGATCACGGCAGAAGCGTGTCGATCATCAACGAGAGCTCGTCGATACAGCGAGTCATCTTGCAGCATGCCAATAACGTCGAGGTGAACAAAACGAACAACGACACGTACGTGATGAGAGATCGGAAGGTGTTCGACGACGCGGTGGTGTATAAAGTGCCGAAAGCTCGCGCGTACAAAGCGAGGAGAGCGAAAAAAGAAACAGTAATTACGAGTGTCGTCGACGTTAAACCTGTGGTGGAGACAAGTAAAAGAACAAGGCATTCGGATACCGATAGTGATACACCGTTGACGTCATCGAAAAAGCCCAGGATCAGCAATGAATTTCCAGGTAGACGATTGTTTTCCGACGAGTCCGAGATCGAAGATGACGAAGACGGTGGTAAGATGTCCAAAACTTTACCGATTGCTGAATCGAAGCAAGAGGAGCAAATGGATATTGAAGAAGACGAAGGTTTAGTGGAAGAGCGGTTAGAAGCTGTAATGCAGCAGGTACGATTAAAATTTATCACGAGAAACCTATGATGAGTGAATACATAAATGAACAATATCGTATTATTTCAGGAAAAATTAATTAGAAATAAAAACAGAATAAAGGTAAAGCCTGTGATAGGAGCTCTATTACAACAGAGACTCGAAAATAAAGACAAACGTACGAGTTGGGCCGACTTGGTGGGATGCGCATTACCCAAAGCACGTACCGTAGAGCAACTAAAACAATCTAATTCTGACGAAAATATCGTTCAAGTTAACGCGTCGAACGCTTCGAATTACAAATTCATCAAAGCCAGTATGGTCGAGTACGTATTTGTAGAATTTTACAATTCCTAACTAAGAAATAACTAATATCAGTTAAAAAATAATAATTAACTGATAAATAACAAATTATGTAAATTATTTTACAGTCGTAAAAGAGTCGCGAGTCTGGACATCGGCGACGGAGCAAAACTGATATTCGACGAGAAAGGACAAGCTGGCGTAGAAGAATTTCAAAGTGCATTTTTAGCAATGCCAGGAGTCGATCCAAAATTATTGCCAACCGGTTGGATTGAAAATCATTACAAATGGATTGTATGGAAACTGGCTTCTGTCGATCGATCTTGCTTCGATTCTACTCTTTTACCTAGGTAAATTAAACTTTCAAAATAATACTTTCTTGTGAATTAAAATTATTCATTATTTTGAAGAATGTTGACTCCGGAACGAGTGATGCTCGAATTAAAGTATCGTTACGATCGAGAGATCGATCGCGCCCAAAGACCGGCATTGAGAATGATTTTGGAAAAAGACGACGTACCATCGAAGCGAATGATTCTGTGCATATCCTCTATCACTGAAATTCCATTAAATAAAGAGGATGGAGAAAAAGACCCACGAGCAATGCTCGGCCTGCAGAAATGGAAAATAGAAGCCACAGACGGCTGGTACAGCATACCACTCGCTATCGACAATCCCATGACCAATTACGTGCAAGCCGGTAAAATTAAGGAGGGTACGAAAATTTTAACTTACGGCGCCGAGCTATGTGATTGCGAGCGAGGCTTTCATCCGTTAGAGGTAATATTTTTATGATGAAAAATGTAACTTGCTACTAACAGTTGAATTTATAAATATATTTCTAGGCACCGCCAAACGTTAGTTTGAAAATATTTACAAACAGCACGAGAAGAGCCAAGTGGGATGCGAAATTGGGTTATCAAAAAATTTCGCGGTCCATACCGGTCAGATTGAAAGATATCGTTGCGGGTGGCGGTATGGTCGGCGAAGTCACTGTAGCAGCTGCTCGAATATATCCACTATTATATCGAGAAAAAACTGCGGATGGACAAATGAGTAAGCATAACATGTGTGAATAGTAGCATTTTGTATGATTAGTATATTGTATTACATCAAATATATATTTTAGTTTATCGTAACGCCAGAAGCGAGGAAAAAGCCGCGGCAGCTCACGAGCGAGCTCTCGAGTCCAAAGTCAACGCGATGTTCGCCGAGGCCGAGAAGAATTTCGAGTCCGAGCAGAAGAACAATCGCAATAATTACGAAGGCGCCGAATCGATCAAACAGAAAATCGAATCGCAAGTGCGCCAGAGTCTGCCCCCACCGCGCGACGTCACGCCGGTTCTCAAAATACGTCTTTACAGCGATGAGTCGCACGCCATGTTGACCATATGGGGTGCCACCGAAGACTCTCGCTATGACATCAAAGAAGGAAATACAATCACAGTTTATAATTCGTTCGCCACCGGATCCAGGTAACACATGGACGGTCTATTTGACGCGCTTATGCGTCGAGATTTTTCAAATATGTCGTTATTTATTTCAACAGAGGAGGGGAAATGAATTTGACCGCAAATCGTATGACACACATCAAAGTCGAGCCACTGTTAAAATTGCCACATCCGCAAAGATGCTGTAGCCTGATAACAGAGATTTCTTCGGGTATGTTCGAGCCTAAATTCAACGAATTCGATACCGTCGGTATTGTCTTATCGTGCGTACCCTCGCCACACGTAAGTAAAAACATTTAGAAAGAATCACGACTTTGAGCTACGAAACTCATAATTATATTTTCACAGGGAATGAAAAATTTCGAAGCCGTACACTTGGGTTATCCGAAACCCAACGATGAGGGCACAGCTTATTTATCGGTGCTCTTCTGGAACGGGGTCGCGGCGTACGGCTATCAAGGCATGTTCTCTCCCGGTACTTTTGTGGGCTGCAGCAACCTCGAGTGGAGGCGCAATACCGCTTGGAACGTGACGGCGGCTTATTGCGGTGAAAAGAGCACCTTCACGACGAATCCACGACAGCCGATGCTGAGCAAGGAGCTGCGCAATCTTAAATCTCTCGTGCCTGTATGTATCTTAATGCACTTACGCGTCATAAAACTTGAAAGTATTAAATTTGAGATGTATATATTTTTTCAGAACGGACTCGCCTTCGTGGAGAACTGCGCCGAGGATCTGGCGTCCGAGCTGGCGAAGCGACCAGCGTCGAGATCACAGCACGGCACGCCGACCGAGCGCGTCAGTTTTTATGGAACTAGTCAAATTAATCGCGTGACGCCCGATTCAGTGTCCATAAAAAACAGATTGGAGAGACTGTCGCGTTACGGCGGCGACTCGCCCATGGACAATCTGTCACCCATAGTCTTGAACAATAGCTCAACGAGAGTTCAAAAGGACTACACGCCCGTTACTCCCAGATGAGAAGAGGCCCCCGATCCCTGCTGTCGCATCTTTGGAAGGTGGACAACAGGTGTAAAAGTATTCGACCAAGAAAACCGAAGAAGAAAAAAATCAAGTTTTTGTTTGACAATGTTGTCGATTTTTTTGTTGTTGTCGTGAAATAAGTGACATCGTAATAATTATTATTTTATTTTTGACTGATTGAGCATTGATAGGAGAATTTACGAATCAAATATCCGTATTACATTATTTTTTTGAAAAGTTTTAAGTATCGTGTGCCATAAACATCTGTATAACTGTGTTGATATAATGATTAAGCATAATTGCTAGGCTGGTCCTAAATATAAAAATGTGCCGTTGCAAGTTCGTACAAAGAACGTTCGTAATCTTAGAAATGTTTAGGTACAATGTCATTTAATGCACAGGCCTAAAAATTTTTATTCTTTTACGAAATGCATGTAACATTTTGAGCATCATAAAAATTTAGAATTTAGGTTTACAAAAACTTACGTAAACTATGTTATTGTGTAGATTAGATTGTTAAAGTTTTATCTCATAGTTGTTGTACTAGTAAATTAAGCGAATTCGAGTAACCATCTTATTTTTGTAAATGTTGTATAAAAAAAAAATTTACTTCGCATTCGATGAGACTGCCTAGAAAATAAAATAAATCGCTTTTTTGTACGTAAATATCCACCATCGCTTCTTCATTTCACGAGATATACTCCTATCTGCTCGGCCAATAGCTACTACGCATCGATACACTCAAAAAAACCAGTTACACCGATACCAGCTTACCTTCATTTTTGAAAAGGCAGCAAGTGACAGATCATTAATTAGGAAAAAGACGTGTTTGTGTACACACGCGGCTAATACGAGTGGGTCTCGTGCATCAAAGACCCGCCCACCGGCGCCTCCGCTCCCGGCACGCGAGTACGGGAGGGGGAAATTTGCGGCACTGCTGCCTGTCGCTAGCTAAGCCGCTCGCGGGCTGTCAGTAGCAAGCATCGAGTCGTGTGCGAAAGGCAACGGCGTCGTCGCGTGAATGTGTGTTCGATCGTCGCCGCGTCCGTTTCAGAAAGTTTTCCCGCGTGTCGATGTTCGCTCGTTTTTTTTCTACGTCATAGTATAAAGTTCGATTACGGGTCGAAATTATAACATTGAGTTTTTAGAGAGTGACTAGTGCGTGACAAGTTTTCAGTGTTCAAGTTCCTTCGAAGAGAGATTTTGTTTTGTTGCGAGGGAAACAAAAGATTGCACATTTGTGTTGGATTCGAACACGGCCGACTCGAAAACAATGATTGACGAGGCGCTGGCCGGTGGTGGTTTCAGGAGTGCCTTCGCGCAGTCGATGCACGAGGAGATGGGCAACTCCGCGCCGGTCGAGCTGCAGGTGCCCTCGCCGGCGCCCAGCACACCCGAGGGGACCCTACAGTTTTTGCGCAAGGTAAAAAAAACAAACGACTGTGGCACACAATTGTAGAGTTTGTAAATATAATGTCCTGTTAGGCCATCTTTATATCCGTCTTGTTTCGTGATATTTGCCGGAAATCAATATTATTCCAAGAAAAAGAAAAATCTGAAGGAGAAGACAAACGGAAATTCGATCCTTCGATTGGGTATTTTCGTTATTTCAAAGTGTCAAACACTTTTATGTGCCGTATAGTATTCCTTTTGTCACAATGTAGAAAGTGGCCTTTTCACCTAGGAAACGAAGTCATCTTAGATTTCAATGACACCACAGACGTCAAATATTGAAATTGATCCTTGTCCGCGAGATAAACGAGATATCGTGTGGTTTCCGCGTGAAAACTTTTTAACAGCATCGTTGGCGCAGTCTTTTTCGAAAAATCTCAACTGTGAATCTCGAGAAAACGGGTTCGAACATTTTTAATTGCTTTCAACGGATCGAGTATCCTACGACAATATCGAACGTTTGAAATTTGAAACGAAAATGAGATTCAAGGAACAATAAAATCAAACCATCCTCATCTATTTGAAGTCTTTATCGATCCTTTTATTTTCGAACTTTATAAAAACAAATGAATCGCACCTGTGCGAACTCGAGGTTCGTTAACAAGTGCATTTGCATATAGAAACACCTTTTCCCCACAACTAGTAACTACGGTGATTTTCGTTTTTTTCTGTTTTTATTTGAACGCTCCCCTCGAGAGAACTAAGTTGTATTTATAATTGTGTGTGTGTGTGTGCGCGCGCGAGAACGAGCTCAACGCGCGCGATTAAGCGATCGCGACGCTTGAAAACAATGTGACGGTACACTAACCGATTTTTCAAGCTTTTTTTACAGTAAAAAACCAAGAGAAAAAGAGAAATAGTTGGTCGTATAGTTTATGTATTATAAGGAACGATTGTTCTAAACTACACCTTGCCATTATTTTAATGCGTTTGATTTAACGATAATAAGGCTCTCTCGTGCGTGTACGACTTATATATCATTTGCCGATCTGTATCGAGATCGACGTCGAACAATTAAGATATGCATAATATTGACTGCAAGGTGCCCCCACACAGGTAGGGAATAATAAATGGCCTATAGTACATTTCTTGGAGTGTATAAATGTGTAAATATACACAGCGGCGCATAATTAGAAGGCAATTGTTGCAAATGAATGCAGCGACATCGAGTCAAGATTCGGCCGAGCGCGAAGGCCAGCCGGAGAGCAGCGCAGTATTCCTCTCTATATAATATAAAATAATAATAATAAAAGTCCATACCTACACAGCCCCTCCTCGATATTTTTCAATAATTTTTCTTGACGCGCGCGCTCGCGAGAACGATTTATCTTTTCAGCGCGAACTCGCGGCGGCGGCGGCGGCGCGCGCGGACTTACGGTTACGATAATCGATCGATCGGCGGCTCTCTCCATGAGACGTTCGCGCAAAGATGCTCTCGACGCAGTACATACAAGTACTTTTTCTCTCTCGAGAGGCACGCGGAAGTTTTGATTTCGTTATCGTGATTATTACCGATCTCAAACGTAGTATATTATATTTATATACACAGGCGCGCGCGAGGAGATGTAATTGAAACGAACTTATAAGTTTTATATATCGTGTACACACGTACTCCCACCAAAGATAGGGTACGTATTATAACGCACACACGTCGATTGTATCTCGAAAATTGATCGTTAATTTTCGGGCCCGTTATACACGATGTAGCACCGCGCGCACAGGTATATATACCTACCTATGCGGACACGTGCGCGAGCTTCGCGATCATCATCGTCGATAAATTGCGTTGACCCTCTTTTTCTTCGCCGATCGCGAACTGCGTCGGTGTACACATACGTACACACACGTACACGCACATACACGGACATTTATGTGCGGGCAGTTGTGCAGCATAAACGTGTATACACACACACACACACACTTATAAACGCGGCGCGCGGGGGAGTCTCGTATATAAATTGCGGGGGGCAGTTGCCGAGAGATCACGACTCCGCGAGTTGTTTTGTAGCTATTATATCGGTATAATCGCGCCGTTTTACGCGGCGGCGGTTGAGGCATTGAAAATTGGATACACACAATAAAATAGCGATTATTGAATAAGTGGTGGATATTTTCGCACGTAGCAACGATTTCTTATACATATCTCTATTACATACATTTATTTGTTATTAAAATCTATCGCGAAGGCCATACCTAATATCGAGCGGGAAAACTAACCGCCAAAATATAAATACCGATCGGCTGCATTCTCGCGTCTACGTAACATAACATATCGGTAAAAGCGAGAGGCCTCCGAGGCACCAGACATCGTCATCTTGTAAACAAAGAGGATGTTATTAACGTACGGCTAATACCTGGCAGAGAGAGAGAGAGAGAGAGAGAGATGCAGCAGCAGCTCCTGCCGGACGCGTGCGAAAGGAATTCGCCTGCAGGGAAGAGTAGTATATATCTCTCTCTCTCGTCCCTCTACTCTGCTCTACTCCTCTTATCTCTGCTGCATGTATGTATAGCCGATCGGCCCCGCCGTACACCGTGATGATGAACGTGTTATAATAAAGGCAGCATGAGCTAGGCGTTCGAGTCGCCCTCGCACACGAGTTGGCGAGTGTTTGCGAATTTTTCGTTACAATATACAGGTACACGCGTATTCGTAACACCGGATGAAGTACGTTGTCCTGTATGTGCGCGGGGAAGGAGGCTCATTAACATCCATTTACGTACCTTGTCAATTATCAGCCTTATGCTCGTATAGTGCAGCTGTTGTGTATACGCAAACATACGATTTGTTTCCCCCATTGTCGCTTTTAAATAAAATAAAATGTATATATACGCGTCGGTCTTTTTATTATTTTTTTTCGCTTCTTTTTACTTTACTGCTACTCGCTATTAACTCGCTGTATTTATACACCATATAGACATATACACGCATCGTTGAATTCAAATATGACCTTTATGTAATAATGCCCATATAACGTATCCAACGGACGGTATGTGAGCACACCACGTATTGTGTATCATTTAATAAGAATGCGTATATGCGTAATGTGCGCCGCTGTGCCGCGATACAGCTGCCCGATTATTATAGGCAAAATTAATGTTTTTCTTTTTTTTTTCTCCAATTTTACGTCGTATTATGATATCGTCGACTGCGATGCGTCGAGGAAGTGTATAGCGCTATTCTCTCCACTGTACGCTTATAGATACATATTTATGTATGACCCATTGTTCAATTGAGAGATATCGCGCAGGCTATATTCGTTGGAGCGTCGTATTTTGTTTGGTCCATAACGAAAAAAGTAAAAGAGATTTACGTATAATAATATACACGTTAGCACCTCCGCGACGAGTTAATCGTTTCCTCGATCTCTTAAACTTCTGCAATGCGCGCATGTATGTGTGTGTGTCTGTTTAATTGTCGATATACCTCGCGCGACAAATGTTTGTGGATGAGGCCCTTTGTCGGTGTCTCTGAATGAAAACCTGCCGCGTCGTCGCGCGGTGTGCACCGCTGTGGCACACAAGACGTACGCGCGAGGTGCAGCGCTGCAATACCCACATGTATATACCTATATATCGGAGTACTCGCGAGTCTCGAGCAAAGCGCGCGGTGCGTTGAACTCCGATATTATACACATGGGGGGCAGCGGGCAGGCCTATATAGGTAGCTATGCGCGCGCGCGCGCGAGCGGCCGTGTGCTGCCGCTGCTCTTCCTCCAACTGCCTCGAGGCGGCACACAAGAATCCGCAAAAAAAAAAACGACGACGACGACGACGACGACGACGACTGTATATACACATATGTATATAGTAGAGACAGAGAGACGTTAACTGCAGTCGGTGAGCGACGCGATATATACTTAACGCGAAAGATTTATCATTGCAGCGCGCCCCGGTCCGCCGCCGCCGACGCGGACGACGACGACGACGACGAGGATAGGAGTCCAAGATGCCGAGAGCTTTGGCGTCTCTGTCATCGTGTCGCCCATGGGCACGGTGTAAATCCAGACATGTACACACACACACACGAGAGAACAGTTTGTGTATACTTTGTAGTTTTGATACGCGCGCGAGCGAGCGGCTTTTATGATCTATCCTATGTATGCTGTCTGTGGTGTTTATTTTGACCGACCGCGCGACCGAGGCCAAGCATCGTAAAGATTAGTATGTGCAATTCATGTTTACGCCTGCGACTCGGAGTAATCGAGTGCCGAGGATGCTTATCCGCCCGCGCTCTCGTGCAAAACAGAGTGCACTCGGGTGTACTCACTCGGTACTTGGTTTATAGTATTAAGTCTGAAAACTGGTCTAAATTTTTTTAAATAATTGAAATATCGTTTCTTGGTCGTTTAAAATAGGTCAAGTATTTGTAGCATAATTGTAACCAAAAATTGGCTAAAAACAAGCCAATTGATATTTATCTACATTGAAACATTTGACAATGTCACTTTTTGGTCATCGAATCATCGTTAGCGGTGAGAATTTCTACCCGGAGAAATGAAAATTTAGCTTGTTTCAAAAAAGTGTACACCAGTTTCAATCACATTAATTACAATAATACAACTTCAAGCTTCAGCCATTAGATGGCGAGTAACATTATCTGTAAATCTGCAAGTGGCAAAGTTTAAATAAGGGTATAAGTGTATGTAAGTAAAATTAAAGTTCTTAATGATGTTGGTAAAATCTCCTCGACTCCTACTTCCGAATGCGAGATGCTCGTGCAGTCCTGTGTATTGTGCCATACAGCCTTTTTAACCACACGACATTCGGGCAGGAAGCCGAGAAAGAGAATGAGGATTGCCTCGCGGCGAAATGACTTGTCTCGAAGGCGCGTCGTCGCGAGAACACAAATAACGAAAAACAATGTGAGCAATTTATGGAAATATGCGTTTGTTTTATTGGGCTTGCGTGCGCTCGTGTGTCCACGAAGAAGCAGAAAAAAGGGGAGGGAAAAAATTGTACCGGCGAAACGAATCCATCACAAGTGTCATTTTAAGCGTCGATTATTATTTACGGGGCCCGAGTAATTACTTAAAATGTCATTTATCATCGATGCCTTTATACTCGGGGCCTGGTATTTAATAATTGTCATTGAAAACTGACAGGGATGAATTACTTTGCGCGCAAGGACGTATCGAGAGATGTTCCCCTAGTGCATGCTCGGTGCGCTTTTATTAGCATGCGTCTTGTGGCGATCATCGTGTATCGCACGCGCGCATGTTTGTGTGTGCGTACGCACGTCAAAAAAGGGGATGGCGGGAAACGTGTATTTTAAATATATGAATTATTCAGAAATTGTTTTACATTAACGTGAACACGAGCCCACGTGCGTAATAACGCCTCGTGGCACGCACGCGCTTGGCAGTTTATCACCCGATCGACTCGACACAAGACAGAGAAAAAATAAAAATGACTACGCGCGAAACATTTACTACGAACCCCTTTTTTTTATCAGAGATATTTTTATTTTATATTTATTTTGTCGGATATCTGTACGCCAACTTGAAAAATCACACGCAGCCGATCGCGCAGGGCGATGAAAAGCCAAAAAAGCACATGACGCTCGTGTCTGCGCTGTATCGTAGTCCGTTAACGCCTTACCCTATAATAAAATAAACAAAAAATTGCCGCGCGGCGTGCGAGCTTTCATACAGCTCGAAGAACCGGAATGGACGGGATAATTGGCCGTGTGTATATGTACGATTTCAACGGCACTTTGTATTTTCTCTCTGTGCTCGCGCTTTTCTTGAAATGAAAACCGATGACATCTGGGTTGAGAGACGTACATTTGGCTGCCTGTCCGGCCTCGCCCGCGTGGAAGCTAGGTGTTAAAGCTGCAGTGCGCGCGTAGACGAGGCATTTAAATCTCGAAGCTCTCGTGTACAAACATACGCAAGGATTTTCTCGCAGTTGTCTCATTGTTTACATTGTTTTAACCCAGTGAAACAGTGCAACAGTTTTCGTTAGTTTTTTCCCCCATTTCCCAGGCACAGACGGATCGCTATCTCTCTCCTCGCGTACGTATAGTTAACTTTTCCGGCATATTTTTTACATTCTCATACCTTCTATCCTTGAATTTACTAATGGTTGGCTAGGTCGGTACGTCTGAAATTGCTCGACGTCGTCGCGTCTCTTTGCTTGAAAAAAAAAACGCTGAAAGAAAAAAATAGTAGCAGAGGATGTGCTCTTTCTATATACACATCCACAACGCGACAATGCATGCCGTGGCGCGATTTAGGGCCACGTAACACGCAAACGTATATAATACATATAAACGAGTCGTGAGTATGTCTGCAGTGGCAATGCACGCAGTTAGCAGTAGCAAGTCCGCGGAAGCGAACTCGACTAACTCGCCATGTCTCCTCTACCTCTCTCTCTCTCTTTCTCTCTCACGTCTTGACATTTTTTCCCTCTTTATTTTTTTTGCACTAATGCCTTTTGTCACAGAGAGCTGCGGGTGTATAGCGATATATATTGTATACGTGTTTTTTTTTATTTCGCTCACCGCAACAACACTTATACGCCACGCAGAGCAGTAGCACATATATATATACGCTCTCCGAATGCTGTTTCTTTCTTTTTTTTTTCCTATACGTTTCGCTCGTCACGCATCGAACTACGACGACGCCTCGGCAACGCTGCGACGAGTCGTTTCTTTTCTTTCTCTCGAATTTTTTTTCTCTCGATTTTCCCCCCGCTACAACATACGTACACAGCTCGCACATAGCGTGCATCATAATTCTGATAAAGTCTCATAAAATACAAAGTAATTAAAAATTCAGACGGTTTCGTGTCGTGAAATCCCAGCAGCGTATCAAAACCGTAATTGCGAAGAGCAAATGCAAATGCAGAAAAAAAAAAAGAAGAAATAGAAAAATCGTCACTCTGTCTCGTGATGGCAGCGATACACGAACACACACACATACACCCAACCACGCTGCGATCGCAGTGCACCGGAACTGCAAAGTAAAAATGTCCAGTAGCTCCGACCGTCAACCCATATAGACAAAGGGGCAACGAAGCGTGAGCTCTTCAAAAGGTTCAGTGCTCGCGGCGCGAGTCGAGGCCCGAGAGAGGCCGGCTACACGTTATACACACGCTCGTTGCTAACGCGAACATGACTCGTTGTCAACGCTACTGTGCTTTCGGTACACCATATAAACGTATAAATATATGTGTATACGGTTACACGGATAGCCGGCGTACGTATGTGCGGCGGAATATATGAAATAGGCACGAAAATAGCTTCTGGTCGGCGTATGGTACAAAGTCGCGCAAATTAAAATTAACCCAAGCGTGGAGAAACGGCGCGCGAGATATCGCGAGAGCCGCGAAAGCCCTGAGCACCGCAGTTTATAACTCAAAAACGATAGCGCGACAGGTTTGTCGTGCATTTGGTCTGCTTCTGTTTTTCTTTATTTTGTTTTCTTTCGTGAAAACAGTGACCCTTGGTTATTACAAAAAAATTTGCAGCTCTGAAATACAGTCTCGCTTCTTTCTTCACACTACAAGCCAATTCTAAGGAAAAACCAATTCTTTATTTCCTGCTAATTAATTTTTTTTTCCTGTGATACTGCTTTTTTCGACTGGCTTGCTTCGTCTGCTTTGATTTATTCATCTATTTTTGCTTAGCCACTCGTAGGTTTACAGATAATAGCACTCGCCATCTAGTGATGAAGGCTCGAAGCGATATTATCTTATTAAGGAACTGAAAACTAGTCTAAGTTTTGTAAAACAAATAAATTTTCATTTCTAGGTTGCTTAAAGTGAAAATTATATTTTTAGTATTTTCTTAATCAAAATTTTCATAGCAATGCGTGGCATAAGTTCACATTTATGGCACGCAGTGCTATAAAGTACTATATTCAAACTTTAAAAACCGTTAATATTTTAATGCACTAAAATATTTCATAATAAAGTCAATCATTCGTTCAATAAAAAAAATTTATTTTCTCCAGAATTTATCTCATATTTCAAGATCACTTCTCACTATTTAAATGTTTATAAATCCAATACAACTCTCGATTTTGATAAGTTGAACAGTCTAGTGCAGATATTTGTTGAAATAGTTCATAACTTCTTGAATTTCTATAACTAGTGGTCACGTTACATCACGCGTGCCTCATAGGCCAGACACACACTCATACACACATTCACTTGGAATATTTGAATCGATTGTTATGAAGTTCGATCGTTCTAATAATCGATGCTATTTTTATAATCCTGTAAATTATCAATTGGACACATGTGCTTCACTTTCCTCTGATTGTATGAAAATCATTATAACAAGAAGTTTCTGAGCACTGAATCGAAAAGATGCACTCGAGTTCAGTTGCTGTTCATGTTCTCGGCGATCCAGTCGCGGTAGGCCGCGACCTCGGTGTAGGCGCCGGGGTAATCGGGCTGAGCACAGTCCAAGCCCCAGGAGATGATGCCGGCCAGACGCTTCCCAACGACGAGCGGGCCGCCGGAGTCACCCTGGCAAGAGTCCTTGCCACCGACGCCCAAGTAACCGGCGCAGATCTGCTTGTGGGGCAGACCGCCTGCATCTCTGTAGGCCTCGTTGCACACCGCGCTGTCTATGATCGGCAGTTTCACGGATTGCAGCTGGAACGGAGTCTGGAATTCCATGGTCACACCCCATCCGGTGATGGAAGCCATCGCACCGGCTCTGGTCCTCTCGTTTTTTTTGTACAGCTTGATGGCTCTGCGTTTTTTGTCGTAGACGATCGGGTTCTCGAGTTTGATCAGGGCGATGTCGTCCACGGGGTTGCCGTATTCGTTGACTGTGTACTCGGGGTGACGGATGATCTTGGCCATGCGATGAATAGTTCCGCCCTCCTTCACGTAGCTCGTACCGGCTCGAACGTACATCTGATCGGGACTGGGTACGTCGACGCAGTGGCCAGCGGTCAGGATCCAATATTTGTCGATGATCGAGCCTCCGCACATGTGCTCGGGTCCGTATTGGAGGGATATTTGGTACGGGTAGTCTTCGATCAGCGCATTTGTACCGTTGATGATGCGAGTGAGTTGAAATACTGTTGGGTCTTGGATAGAGGCAGCTGGAAAGAGTGATATAAAAGTTTATGAAAAAATTCTTTCATTCATAGTTGATCGATTTTTAATGAAGTTCTAACTCACCTTTCGCGACCGCAGCCACGAAGAGCAGCACCGACACGATGGAGAACATCTTGATCGTTTGTGCACGGAACTGGTTCTGATTTCTATTGCCGCATTGACAGATACTTTTATACTAAAAACAATACGATCGATCTGTGTATGCCGTCAGCTGTATTCAAATATCTTATCGATTATAACGTAATTTTGAGCGCTTCTGATAACCGCATCCTCCCTGGGTGTTAAAAAACAATTGAATCATTGCAGTGTCACTTATGCTAAAAATAGAGTATTAGCTACCTTAATATGAAACAGATACTTTAGTGTGTGAATTCTTCAATTTTCGGTAATCCTAATCTCGGACTTATCGTTCTTTCTTTAAAAATTCCGTAAAAAGATTGAAAACATTTCACTGATTTATCGTACTGATTTAATTTTTGTCGAAGATGTAAATTGTAAGATACGATAATTTTTCGAATCAATTGCTTGAACTAATCTTTTGTCAATGTAAACTCATGGTGCTCAATTAAAAATGCCTAGTCTAGTAACGCTAAATTTCAAAGGCGTTTAGAACTGCGTCGAAAAATGTGAAAATCTACTGCTTATTTATTAGCTGCCTACTACTGCTGTTTCGAGTCGTGCGCAAGTAGTCTTAAAAGCCAAACCTAATTGCGTTACAATATGGACACTGAATCCAGTGTTTTGTCTGGATTTACTCGTAAGATGTGTATCAAAGTAAGTATCATTGATAAGCATTGTTTTTCCCTTTTCAAAAAAAAGTAGAGAAAAAAGTCTCAAGTACGGTAGCCTTTTACCAGATCATCATCGTACTAGATTTCTAATAATAATGTCTGCGATTTATTTGTCTCTACGCTCAATTAATTCGAAAGTTTATCGCGGCAATGACAAAAGACAATAGATTAAAAATAGTACGAGTTCATCGGTTAAAATTAATGAAAAATAGTGTAAATTCAAATTGCACTATTTTTTATATATTTTTTAATGGTCTTATGCTATTTTTAATGCATTGTGTTTTGTCATTGCCGCGATAAACTTTCGAATTAATTGAGCGTGGAGACAAATAAATCGCGGATATTATTAGAAATCTAGTACGATGATGAGCTTGTAAAACGCTACCGTGCTCGAGAGACTTTTTCTCTCTCTCTCTCTCTCTCTCTTTTCGGAAAGGAAAAAAAAGTACTTATCGATAATGCTTTCGGCGAACTTGATACTTCGTTAATGGACGTGCAATTAACCGCTGAGCGATTTCCTTACGTGAACCTTGCAAAAAATGTTCAAAGATAAAGAGCATATTACTTATGCTTCAACTATATGCAGGTGATATATTTATGTACCTTCGATTACGGCAAAAAGAACAAAAAAAAGGGAAAATGATCCTTCATCGCACGACACGATTCGCGCTCATTTTCCAGTCGTAAATATTCCATCGGATGTTCATATATATTTTTCCTTTCTTCGATTCTCTTTCTTTCTCTTTCTTTCTTTAGCTCGGTATAGCTTTTATAATTCCAGCCGTAAAGTTCGCCGCTGCCGCCACCGCCACGCCGTTGCTGCTTCGGCCCTAAAAGCGTGTAGATATACATAGGCGTACTTAAAATTTTCATCCGGTACTACCGTGCAAAACATCGCGGAAACAATTCGCGCAGGTATTTCTGCTTCGCTCGAGAAGAGAGAGAGAGAGAGAGAGAGAAAAAAAAGGAAGGAAAAAGAAGAGGAGAAAATTGTATGTACGGCAACGACATCACAAAAGGCCGGTCGACTCGAGAGCGCATTCTTATACCATCGGCCTTTACCTCCGCGAGCTGGTTAATCGGAATTGGATATAATATATTATACCCATGTGTTAAATGTAAAATTGACTGAGTTTTTGGATTTATATTTTTGCTATCCATAACTTTACAGAGTTAAATTAAAGTTTGTGCGTTTGTATGAACGCGAGCCACACGGGCTCTTCCATCCGCATGATCTTACGGCGATCGCGAGGATGTGTCATGGCTTAATTACCAACGAGGTTGCGCTTCTTTCATTTTTCACGGCTCAGCAATAATATATTACATATCGCATGTGCATTCTCGTATTTATATACACGTTCCTCGTACGTATACATGTCTGTAAATGGTAACACTTTTTCTCGCGCCGTGCACGGGGCGATGATCTATCTCTTCGCTACTCATATTTATGTGTACTTATGCACTTCTTTCATTTTTTGAAAAATTTGCCGTGGGGCCGATATCCCATTTCTCACGAGGATAAGGTTTGTTATCTTGACGCGCAGAAAGCACGTAGGTACAAATAATGCTTGTGTTAACACGTGCACTAGAGGATTATGAAGTACGCCAGCCATGAAGCAATTTGGAAATTAGTATTAAAGTTAGTTTAAGATTATTTCATTTCAATAATAAAAAAATAAAAAGATCAAAATAAAACTAGATGATTAATTCAAAAAAATCACCACTATTGTAACAAAAGTTTTTATTGAGTTAGTTCAATATGCAATCATAAGTAACCGAAACAACCAAGCTCGTGCAGTTTATTTGTTCGTTTATTATTCAGTCAAAAATATTCAAGAATCAAAAAACTGAGTTTATTCATTTGCTTTGCACTTCTACAGTATCTACAGTCTATACATATATTAAAAATACGAGGATTTTTTTACTCGATGTTACAGATAGTTTTTTGTAAAGTACATGGTGTTAAAAGACCAAGAAATTTCTCAAAGAGCAAAAACTGGTTCAAACATTATAAAGAGAATGTGTAACAAATATATAGTTAACATGATTGTAAACAATATGATCGTACGCGATTTTCAAATCATTCATCGAACACTGATCGTGTTTACAATAAAAACAAATTAGTTTGAATATTGTCTTTTCCCATGAAACAAGCCTTAATACCAGAAGATATGTTTTATTCTCATGGTATTGGATAGAAGGATTCATCTAATTTAAGCATCAAAATGGAAAACTTTGAGAGGAAATCTGAGGAAGTTGTCTCAAGTGAAAACGATAGTATTGTTTCAGGCGACAAAAAACAGATTTGTGGTATTCGTCAGGAGTCATTTACATTAGAATCAAGCATGATAACACATCGAGACACAGTTCACAATGAACAACAAAATTTCTCATGCGACAAGTGCGAAAAAAAATTTGAGTTTCGAAGTCATTTGAGTAGACATCAAATATCAGAACACAAAGGCCGTAATGATTTTGCATGCGACCTGTGTGAGAAGAAGTTTGTGAAAAAATCGAGTTTGTTTACACATCAAAAATTAGTACATAAAGATCGCGAAAATTTCACTTGCAACAAGTGCGAGAGGAAATTTGAAAATAAGTCGACTTTAATTAAGCACAAGAAAATATTCCATGAAGTTTTCAAAGATTACTTATGTGAAAAGTGCGCCAAAAGATTTGTAAATAAACGAAGTTTACTCTTGCACCTAAAGACGGTACACGACGTATTCCAAGATTACTTACGTGACAAGTGTGGTGAGAAATTTGGATTGAAAAATAATTTGCTTTCCCTTCAAAAGACAATACAAGACAGTCTCAAAGATTACGGTTGCAATAATAGTGAGAAAAAATTTAGTCGAAAAACGGATTTGATTCGGCACCAAAAAACAATTCACGAAGGTAAAAAAAATCACCAATGTGACAAGTGTGAAAAGAAATTTGGACAAAAATCGAAACTGATCAGACACCAAAGGACAATCCATGAAGGTGAAAAAAATCACGAATGTGACAAGTGTGAAAAGAAATTTGGACAAAAATCGAATTTGCTCATACATCAAATGGCAGTTCACGAAGGTCGGAAAGATTACACATGTGATAAGTGCGAGAAGAAATTTGGACAAATATCAAATTTGCTCAAACACCAAAAGATATTACACGAAGGTCGGAGAGATTTTGCGTGTGACAAATGTGAGAAGAAATTTGGGCAAAAACAGGCTTTACTCAGACACTTCAAGACAGTCCACGAAGGTCGCAAAGATTTCGCATGCGACGTTTGTGATAAAAAATTTGTAGATCAAAGCACTTTGATCAGACACAAAAAAACAATCCACGAAGGTCGAAAAGATTACGTATGTGATAAGTGCGAGTTGAAATTTGGAGAAAAATCAAAATTAACCAGACACCAACTGACAGTCCACAAAGGTCGCAAAGATTACACATGCGACGTGTGTGAGCAGAAATTTGGAGAAATCTCCAAAGTAATCAGACACCACAAGACAGTCCGTAAGGGTCACAAAGATTTTTCTTCTGATGATTGCGCGAAGAAATTTGGACGTAAAGAGCATTTGCTTATCCGCCAAAGAACGATTCACGAGGGTCGCAAAGATTTCGCATGCGACGTTTGTGATAAAAAATTTGTAGATCACGGCACTTTGATCAGACACAAAAGAACAATCCACGAAGGTCGAAAAGATTACGCATGTGACAAATGCGAGAAAAAATTTGGACAGAAACCACATTTGCTTCTCCACCAAAGGATAGTACACAAAGGTCGCAAAGATTACGCGTGCGAAGTGTGTGAGCAGAAATTTGGAGAAATCTCCAAAGTAATCAGACACCACAAGACAGTCCATGAGGGTCGCAAAGATTTCGTATGCAACATTTGTGAGAAGAAATTTGGACTTAAACATCATTTGCTTATCCACCAAAGAACGATTCACGAGGGTCGTAAAGATTACACATGCGATAAATGCGAGAAAAAGTTTGGACAGCAATCGAATTTGCGTGTACACAAAAAAATAGTTCATGAAGGTCGCAAAAATCACGCATGCGATAATTTTGAGCCGTTTGGAGAAATAGCTCACAATGATCACCAAATTTGATTATATCATAAGAATAATGTTTTTTCATGGGTATTAGCGAAATATGTATGAAATAAGGGAAATAATGTAAATAGGTGAATTTTTCTTGACAAATGTAAATATATATAGATAATTATATACATGTTTTTCTAAATATTTCGTGCCAACATGATTATTATCATAATTAATCTCGTGCCATCAACTATCATTTTACTTTCGTTCCCCTTTTCACTGTCACGATGGTGCTTAATTTTTTTAACCAGAAAATTACTAGTTACTAACTCTCGTTACTATTCTGGGTGGTACATTGGCATTTTGGTTCGTACAGCTTTTCATGCTACGATTAGCCAAGAAGTTTCGAGGCAAATGAAATGTGGCGCGTGGACGGCACTTTGTTTTATCCACCATCGAATACACGACTTATTTCATGTTATGCTTCTCATATTATGCTAATGAATTCCATCACACACACACACACACACTCTCACGTACAACCGCGAATGAATTCGCCGAGATTGCAAATTCTGAATTATGCGAATTGATATTTAATAGCGATTATGACGTGTAAACGTGTGTGCGTACGCGAATACGCGTACAGGCGCGCAACACGCATTTTATATACCTAATACCTGCATCGTATGTATATGGTCGAGCTGTATACGCAACCCATTATGAAGCATGACTATCGAAATTGGCGTGGCGCGCAGAGAGGCCTAGCTTTCACTATTACATATTGCGAATCCTAGTCACAGGAGACCTCCTCGTCTTTTGTTTGTTTTTTTTCTCTCTTCAATATTATTTCATGTTGATTTTTCATCGCGTCTTTTTGCATGCACGAACATATACACGTTGCCGCATCAACCGGAGTCATCGGTTATAATGAGATATATATATACTTGCTGCGAAGATGAAGATGTAAATTTAATTCCGTCTTTCTCTAGGTCTCTGTAATTTCTAAGTGCGACTGTGCGCAGGAGGAGACTCGCGGGCGCAGCAGGTTTGCGGAGGAGAGAACGGACGATAATTTTTGTCCAAAAAAATTAGAGTCCCTTTCGCTCTTTTCCCTCTCTCTCTCTCGCTCTCCTTTCAAGCGGCGTTTGAAAGTCATTAAAAAGCCGTTAGCTCATTGTTTGTATAAAAGTAAATGAAAACCCCACGCTTTACCTGGTCTGTAAATGCAGCCTATATAGCGGCAGACTCGTAATATTATTTCGTTTCTGTGCGCGCGTATAAAAATAGGCAAAAGTTCGTTTCAAAACTCAGCGCTAAGTAACACTCGCACCCTGGATAACAATAGAGCGTGAATATGACGATATAGAGAGGTAGAAAAAAATTAAGTAAACTGCTAAGTCAATATTTTGTATTTTTTTTATATAAGGGACTAGTTTGTAAGAAGTAAGGATTTTTGTAAAACATGCTTTGTAAAAAAAAGTTACGAAGTTTTTTGTTAAATTTTGTTGCAATTTCACTCCTTACAGATGTTCTTTTATATCTGCAGATTCATTTTAAAAACAATTTATATTTTTGTTGGAAGATGTAAAGATTGATATTCCAGAATTCGCTTCGTATTTTAACGAGATTTTTCGCGATCAATGATGTCATATTCCACCAACAGGTGGAGAACCGAAAACTCGCAAGCACCAAAACTAATTCTCGGGGGATATATATACAGGGTCCTCCACATTTTGATGCAAAACTAGTTAATGCGTTGAATGAAAAAAAAATTAGCGATATAATGCTAGGTTGAATTTGTATATGAAATCCTCGCACGGGCACGTGAGCACGTGCGCACGTATAATAATTAAGAAAGAAAGCACAAAATATAATATATATTGTGTGTACATAAAATGCACGGAGAGCAAGATTAAGTAGCGGCCGCATAGACGCGTATCATCTTGATATACGAGTGCGCGGCGGCAGATCTTTTGCCTCGCGCGCGCGTCTATTGTACAATTTCCCGCGCGAAAAACACACATACACGGACGTATTATAATAGTAGTAGTAGTAGAGCTCGTAGAGTGAAAGCTTGACGACAATGCGCGCGCGCGCATATGTATACAGCCCCTCGTTAATTTTGATTTCTCACGTAAAGAGAGAGAGAGAGAGAGAAAGAGAGAGAAAAAAAAGGAGGAAGAAAAAAAGAAAAAAAATTGACGGTACAAGAAGACAAAATTCTCGCGTATAAGCGTGTGCCACCTACGCCGTGTCGCATCGTCTCTCTCTCTCTCCTATTGTCTTAATTTCGTGTGTGCATTCTTATTACAAAGCCGAACACTGCACCGAGTGAGATGATTGCGGAGAAGAGAAAAATTATAATGCCTTTATTGTTTAGTTCGATTTTTTTTTGTTCGGAGTCGGCAACGAGCACCTGCACTACCGCCGACGCCGTCGTCGCGTGAATAAGGTTGCGCCGCAAAATATACATATCACGATACTCGTGTGTACTGTGCACACAACCGCACGAAACATATTATAAATAAAAGCGTAGCCGAGTTAGCGTTAGGTAAATTAATGCCGTTTGGCGAACGGTATAATGTAAATAGGGACGGTCGAGGAGAGGAGAGAGGATTTTTCGTTTTACTCGCGCTCTCCTCCTCCAGCACGTATATATAATAATTCTTAATATAGAGAATTGGCCACTTATACTGAACTTCCGTAATGTGTGTGTGTGTGTGTGTATCCACCCAATCACGCCTACGCAAAAACCGCATCTATATACACACAGTCTGAGCCCGTCTGCCTTTTATTTCTATGTGTGTACCTGCAGTATATACGTTACCCCCGCGTATATAAACACATATAAATACGCGCGAGAGAGAGAGAGAGAGAGCGAGATGATGTTTTGGAAAAATGCACCTTGGCATTTCTCCTCGACGCTTGCGGGTTGTTACTGCACTTGCGCACCGTTACTCGGCCTTCGCTTCTTCCTTCGTCGAGGAGGCTCTCCCTGATGCGCTTACACAGACGCAGACCAATCTTTATATATATAGAGGAATATTCTCTCTCTCTCTCTCTCTCTCTCTCTCTCTCGGTCTGCAAAATTCCCCAAGGAGCTGTGTACTCCGCATTATACAAACTGCGCCTCGGCACATATACATCTATCTTGATGTCTTCACTCGGTTGCAACTTCGCAGCAGCCAGCCAGCCACTGTACTAATGAGCCTCGAACATAGATATATATATTATAATAGTATGCCCGTGCAATTGAACCCGGTGCACAGCTCGTGCGAGCCTAAGAGAGCGAGAAAGAGAGCCGCAGAGTTTATACGCCATGGCATTAGATTAATAAATTCATTTGCGTACGGAGCAGATTGTATTTTTATGCTGGCAAAAATTGCGAGATTTTATGGTCTAACGCACGATATTCGCTATCTTATCCTATGTATATTTTTTTGCTTGTTCGCAGGTAAGAGAGCTGCCACGACTGACTCTATATACATGTAATGGTACAGACGCATAGTGCGTCTGACTTTTATTATCCTGAAATATTGCGTAAGTTTTTTTCTTTTTCTGACTTTAATTTTCTATTTATACGCGCCATACACCGACACACCATTAGGATTGACGTACATAGGCGTACGCGCGACACGTGCCGACGTATACGCACGCACACCACGATACATATATATATCTCACGTTCATCGACGCAAGACGCGCGAACGGCCCTCCTCAGAGGCGTAATTTACAATATATTTATACGCGATAGTTTATATACACCTATCGAGCTGCCAGCGCAACCTTTGCATGACATGAAAAATCGGTAGAGATTCTTTCTGCGCGCCAGGCATGAATATACATATACACGCGACTTCTTATCTCGAAACTTTTCTCTTCTCGTTCTACATACATCCATACACTTAGATATGAACTTTTCTCACGCTCTACGCCGCTACGGCTGCAAAACGCGCGAACCAACCTGCGCGCACATATCGTTGCACCATGCATGCGTGTGTGTGTGTGTGTGTGTGTGTGCGTTAACTTTGCTCTTGTACATTACCGCGCGCGGCTACATTATATGCATATGTAAGCAGCGAGGCTATATGTGTATCGGAATCCAATGCACATAAATGAGAGGGCGGCCGCCGCCGATGCCGTCGAGCGCGCGGAGGGAGAGGCCGGCCGGCATCTCGCATCAATGCAGTTATATTGAAAAAAAAAAAAAAAAATTAAATTCTCTCTGGTGGGTACGCGAATGAAAAAGATAGATACCACGTATGGAGGCGCGTGCTCTGTTCGTTGGGGATATGTTGTGTTGAGTGCGGAGTCTATATCCTTACACATATTATATTTTATGTATATGGAAAAAGAAGCAAAAAGACAGAAAAAGGAGGCCCTGAATTAATACCGATCTTCGCTCGTGCTTGCGCGCGCGCCGCGATTGTGTGTAGCAACTCTTCTTTCTTTTTTATAAATAGGGTTGTGGCCAGTAGGTTTCTAGTGTGTGCTGTACGCGCAGATATCCTTTTTTTCTCTTCTCTTTATAATAAGAGGGGCTGGCGGAGGATCCATAATGTCTGCCGATCCCGATGAATTGATTATTCCGTATTTGTACATGGTGCGTTTGCGCGTGTGCACTTGCGTGTATGTACCTACACTATACACACGCTGCCGCCGCCACCGCCGTCGATGCCGAAGACGGACGAGTTTTCGCTCTCCGCGAGACATAATGACGAGCGGCGGGCCCCGCGCTCTGCAGCTTTGATGTTTTACCGATCTATCGGCGCGACTGCGCTCGTATATTATGGTGCTCGCGCGCTATAAACATACATATAAATAAAATATAATTATGATGGAAGCGTATGGATTGGGCACGCATAAATTGAAACGACTGCCTATAGGATCGATCGTCGCTTTATTTTGCCGCGCGATCATTCGATTTTCGATGCATCGATTATCCAGGACCTCCAGACTCTCAGGTCGGTGGCGACGCTCGGCAGTTGCGAGCCGCAGTCGTCGTTGAAGCTCATCACGCCGATCTGAACGTGGTCTCGATCGATCACCGGCCCGCCGGAGTCGCCCTGTTTGGTGAAACAAAACGTTTTTTTTTTATATACAAAATGTAAATCTCGCGTGTTCGGAAAGAAGTGTAGGAACAAACATTATCACATTTGCTTGGAAAAATTACTGTGTTTGATGGGAAAAGCGCCCCAGAGTTGACGTGCATATATATACCTACAAATAATTATTTTGCTACTTGCGGATAATTGTCAGAATCAAAAAGCGTTGATGATGCTGAATCGTGTTACGATGCAGAAGGTATTTTGAAAGGTTAATCCTTACTTGTATTCATGATACATTCAAATTTTGCAATTGGTCTATAATTACTATTTGACATAGCAATTTTGAGTATCATAATAAAATTTGACACGAATTGAGCAAAACCTCCTCGTAATTCAACTGTATGATCCCTTTCCCATCAAACATAATAATTTTTTCTAATGAATAGTATTTAACACAGTATTTTTCTGTGTGTGAATTCAATAAAAATATAAATTTCGAAAAGTAGTTGTAAAGTAAGAAAATATAATTGTTTTACATCGCAAAAGTTGCCGCCGCCTTTTATACAGATCATCTCTTTGGTAACCATGATGAGAAATCTGATGTCGCTTTCGTACTCGTTCACGCTGGCTCGCCACTCGTCTCGACATTTTTGGTTATCGTAAACTTGCATTTTTGTGTATCGTAAAAAGTCCTCGCTGTCGTCGGCGTTGAACTGTAAACGATCGTAAATTAATTTTTTTCACATGTGACCATTTCATATTTCTTACAAACTCCGAGACACGTCATACCGTTGTATATCCCCAACCGGTGAGGATCACCGTCGATCCATCCTCGACTTCATGATCCGCTTCCGGCAGTTTCGCTGGTTGAACTTTTTCGCTGAATTCCAGGTCCTCCTTCAACTTCACCAATGCCAAATCCGCGTAATATGGCTTGTACTCCTGTAAAATTTATCCGCAATCGTCAATCGATAAAGCTATACGCCACCCGGATGATTTATTCCTCACGAGTGTCTTGAATTCGGGATGGAGTTTGAACTCTTCGACTCCGTACCTCTGGGCTGAGGGTGCTGACAAGTGTTGCGTACCAACTACGACCTCGGCTACTTCAGGATCCAGTGGTTCTTTGCTGCAAAAAAAGAGAGATGATCGAATTTCCTCTATAGGTTTGTAATTATAACACAACATACTCTCCATATGCGTGAACGCAATGACCGGCGGTCAGAAGGTAGCGTTTATTTATTATCGAGGCTCCACACAGGTGGCCGAACAATCCATAATGCAAGGACGCTTGAAACGGATAATCCTTTATGCTATTCACCCTCGCGCCATCTACGATTCTCAATTTTTTCCCTTCACAGATACTGAAAGAAACGAGTAAAGAGCAAAGTAAAATCAGTATCGAGGCGCCGCGACACATATTTTCCACGTTCTTCTCTATCTACTCGAACTACTGAGCACCGATTTGACTTCCGTCTGCACATCGAAGTCGAAAGATCGTGACTCGTAAATCGCGTCACGTACCTTTGGCTCGCATGCGTACATCATTAAAATACCCGATATGGTCTCTCTGCTAAACGTTCTTAGCGTATATACACGACAAAATCCCAAAGACAACTCGAGCTGTGCGTCGTGTGCGTCGAAAGAAAAAAAAACTAAAGGAAAAAAAAGAGTTTCCACGGGAGCTATTAAATTTTTCCGCGCATACGAGAAATCCTCTACTACGGTGCGCGTGTACGTATGCATCGATCGAGAACCAAAAGAAAGAAAGACGGAGACAGATAAAGAATAGGAGAAACTCAGCAGTAGGTTCGATTTCCGGTAGATATCCATAGTCAGACTCGCGGACACACGCATCGCGAGCTAGTACGGTAGAAGCTCGCGAAGTCAATTAATTAGAGATTGCGCCGCGCACATGCCCGCGCGTGCATACGCAAGAGGAGGAGGAGGAGGAGGAGGAGGAGGCACGTGTAGCAGTGCCACACACAGCTAGGCACAGCTACGACGACGACGAGAGACATATACACGTCTATGATAGTCCCCGAGCTCGCGCTTTCTACACCTGCGGAAGTGCCTACTGGGTCAGATATACACAAAGCGCGATGTGCACAGCTATGGTACAAAGCAGCAGTAGAGCTGCATCTGACTGTATAAATTGAGAATCGGCTTTTGATTCGCTGCCTTTTTTTCTCGATATATATAATTTCATCAATTGATCGGTGCGCGAACGACAAAAAAAAAGAACAAGAATGTAATGAGGATTAAGAGAAGCAAAGTGATTTCTTATTCGTAGAAAAAGGTTTATCGTTGTACACTAATATTCTCAGCTCTCGCGACTCGATCGCTTCGACATCGAGAGAAATCGAATTAGCTACGAGACTCACGGCACTGCTACGGATGCCTATACGTGCGATGGGGAAAAAAAATTCAAATGAAATTAATCCCCCTCCGACAGTTGCTACACATATATACAATCAGGGCTGGATGTATAACCCTATACGCGACGAGGTAACGCTAATACGACAGTTGAGACAATTGGGTCGAGCAAAAAATCGTTACACACACATATACATGACGTGTATATTGCCCCTGCAGCAGCAGTAGCAGCAGCAGCAGCATATTGCAAATTCGATAAGCGCGAATCCGATCCTTGCGCGAGCTTGCACAGAGTTATGCACCGAGTACATATAAGTCGTAACTGTTTCAAGGTGTTTTTCAGGCCTATCTCTGTACACGCGTTATAATAAATAATACGAAGCGAAACGAGGAATCGCGTTTCTCAGCCTGCGTCATGTATATCGAGACGACGACGCGTGCCTTTAATTGGACCACTTCGCGCGTACCTATATTGCGCGCCCATCTTATACATATATTTGATCATCTCCGTATAGGCCTCTCTATGCCAATTAAGGGCTTTTTTATTTGTTTCAATAATGGGCCTCCATACGCCGAGCGCGTGGCCATTAATGGACTTTTACTTTTCCCTCGTTTTTTTTTTGTTGCAGCCCCGCTGCTGCTATATATATTTTTTACGTATGTACCTATGAAAGCTCTGCAGAGCACGTATATATTACAATCTAATCTCGCTGTACGTCACATATCTCGGGGAGCAGTGGCAATTAAAGCTGCTATGGTGAAGAGGTTTCTTTGTTAAGCTGAAATTAATATAAGTATAGTATATATATATATATACAGAGACAGACACTATACAAGCGCCAAGTGGCGCTAAAAAGCCGCTGATGAAGACGTTTTTCTTGTGTCATTGTGTTGGTTAAGCACGCGCTTATACTTGTGTACATAATGCGATACACATTCCAAGTCATAACAGTAGCAGTTTGTATTATAACACGTACGGTGATTGTTTAATCTGTAACGAGTACTAAGTATACTACCGCCCGAGCAAATAGCGAGAGAAAATGAGTTGGCGTTATCCCATACAGGCGTCGAATGGCGCCAATCACCCCGTACGTTATTGCAACGTATTTTTACGATTGTTTTATTAAATCCAAATATCTCCGAGAAAGATATAAAATTACGCAAACTTTGACGTAAAACGTCTCTCCTACTTTTGCGCATAATTGAATGCAACTCTTCGACTCGTTATATTATTTCGCGCGAAACGCGCAGTTATGTGCGCGTCCAGTTCCAGTGAAACGCGGCAGAGACATTTGGTCGGTATGGTAAGAGCATATAACGACGCATGGCGAGGCGTCACACGCATCGCGCGCTTAATTAGTCAACCACGGGCGAGTATCAAGCCGTTTATTCGCCTCATAATTTATTATACGCGTATACTCGCGCAAGGAAGTCTGCTCGTAGCTCGTAGTTCGTACATATATACAAAGAGAGCAGAGTAAGAGGAAAGGAGAGGCGTAAGAGTTAATGGTAACGAGAATGTTTATTTTCGCGCGTCATTCGAACTTCCGTTGCACAATACAAGGTATATGCTAAAACTCTCTACAGGTAGCTGCATTAACGTTTTTTTTTTCGCTTGAAAAGAAAAGCAAGAAAGAAGAAAAAGGAGAAAAAATCGCGAGTACCGTGCTTGGAATAATCATGCGCACCCGCGCGCTATGAGCTTTGTGTATTCCCTGACGTGCGCGCAACGAGCCCGGCGTGACTCAGTCACGATGCTATTTCGCTTCAACTGCAGCTACGGCGTTTGCAGCTTTTACTCTCCCGAACAGCTCCGACAAATGAGACGTAAAACGTGTGCGCGGTGAGCCACGGCGATCGTATATGTTGAGGCCTTTCTTTTGACGTTACGTACTGCGTACGTATCATCGCTCGATCCGTGTGAGAAAATTAAATGCAATTATTGATATCTCGATTGCCTACGTATACTAGACTCGGCGCACGATCGCGTATTATAAACTTTCAACGCGCCACGCGCGTATATACGTATATAAACACTTTCCCATATTTGCATCGATTAATAATTTAATTTAACCATTCGGTTAAGGGAGAATTGTACGAAACTATGTATCGGCGTAGCGCATCGCTGGTATGAGAAAAAAAAATAAATAAATGAAAAAGAGTCTCGAATGGAAGGATCGTTATCGTCGTCTCTCTCTCGGGTACGTGTTACATGCTCGCCGAGCGCTCAGCGAAACAATGCTCCGCTCTCTGCTCAGCACACACACACACACACACACACAGCACACAATAATAATTTCGTAAATCGGCGCATTGCGGGCGCCGCGTTGCACAATACTTCTGCCGCAATTACTTCTGATAAATCTCTCCTTTTGGATTCTCTTTTTTTTTTTTTTTTTTTGCTTTCTTATATATGTAGAGGGAGAACAAAAAAAGTAACTATTTGTAATGTAATTAGATTATCATTGAACGATACGTATCAAGGCGAAAATATATAACGTAATATAGTGCTTACGTTGAGCAATATCCCAAAGGGGAGTGTAATATATCTTTTTTTTTTACACAAAATATACAAACAATTTGTATGCACGGTGTCTCTTTAAAATGCACACAACGTAATAATAATTGTTTATAAAGCAATGAGTGGCACAAGTTGACCTATAAATATCACACCGTGAAATACCTGACTTACAGGTTGTGTGTGCATGCGCTGCACTCAGAGCTACTGTACACAGAGAAGCACAAAAAAAACGCGAAATTCGCTCTCTCGCGTACAGAAGGAGTGGCGAAAATAATGTCTATCAATTAGTCGAATCAACCCAGATGGGGATTTTTTCTTTTTTGTTGTTTCGCGAAACCGCTGCTGCTGCTGCTGCTGCTGCTGCTGCCCGACGTGAAACGCAGCAGCAGCAGCACACGCGCTCGAATTCGGTTAATTTTCTCTCCTGGGACATTGTCCATATCGCAGCTACTCCGACACGCACTCGCGCACGCGGACACATAATATTATGTGTTACGCGTAATATACCCAGGCGGTCGACACCATTGTGAACGACATTAATATATCGCCACTGCTGCGCCATGCGTCGCGCAATTATTTATATATATTTCGTTATTATTATTAATGAGCTTGCGGCGCGGGTCGAGGCTTATCGGCGATCGAATCGAGTAATTTCATTTAATTACGAAGATATGCGGGGTATAAATATTATATACATACACGCTGCGCTAGCCCGAGTGATTTCGATGCTAGGCAATGCAGCAGCGGCAGCAGCTGCTGTACACAGTTTTTTATCTCCTATTTTTTCGAGTTTTATATTTTACGTCAAAGATATTAACAATTTTATGAAAAACGTTTGCGCAACGCCGTATACTTTGCGCAAAGTAGTCGATATGATGTTACTTTTTAGGCCTCGTAAAAGCACCGATATTACACACGTTTTACACATTGAAAAGAGCTATTGTCACGATGATCGTCGTCGTCGTCGTCGTGTACGGATAATTGCAGCAGATTATGAAGCAAAAAAAAAAAAAAAAAGAAGTATCGATAGGTAAAGGTAAAATTTGTAAACGCGGGTCTAGCAGCATCGATAAAAGCCCCCCTCGCAGTAAGTAATTGTTCGCGGACGATCGAGCGCGGTGCACATATATACACGCGAACATAAATCCGATAGAATTTTATAATATCGTTACCAGACGATCTCTGAAAGACGACGCGCGCGTTTACGATCATCGTGCGCAAAAATTATTGAAAAGCTCTCTTGTATATATAGTAGACGATCTCGCGAAACAATCGAGCACTCGCGGACGAATCTCTTTTCCCTCTCTCATCTGGACAATTCTATCGAAATCTCATCGTAAATCTAGTAAATTTATATTCCATTTCAAAAGTCTCGTCGATGTGCATTATAAGACGTGTATATATATGTACGACGTAGAACGGAAGAATAAAAGCTCAATTATTTATGCCAACTGCTGCTTTACGCGTATATCTATCTGTGCTGCCTACACACATTAGAATATATATGAACGCGCTGCTGTGTT